TTAAATAATGGAAAGATAAGCAGGTGTTGACTGGACGATTCCACATTCTATTCTAATGCACTAGAACATGATTAGCTCCGTGGTTGTCTACCTAATAGCACCAACCATGTATGGCCACAGGCATACCAAGCTTTTACGGTTCGTTTTACAAGGTCATGTGGTTAAACATTCGAACCCCGCTTCGCGGACATCCGCTTAATTTGAACGCTTCGTTATTACGGACAGCTTTCTTTGTTCCCGTACAAAGCGCTTACATTTTAACCCACTTAATAAGGACACTTAATTCTTTTTTTGTAAGCGTCAGTATGAAAATCGCCGAAACCCTCCCTAACGTATCACTGTCTACAGGCAGCCTCAACATTTAATTTTAGCTCTGATATTCTGGTCTTGGCTCAGAACTCCTGAGTTTTCATTCTATGTATACGTAATTAGCGACACCCCGCGTAACCTCGGTTCAGTCCGTGGCGCTGGGTAATTAGTGAAGACCTGATGCTATCAAGCGGTTAAAACTTAATAAAGCCACTGGACTGTATAAAAATAGTGCACACCTGCTCAAGGACTCTGTCCATGCACGCTGTCGCTACCACCTACAGTGTATATATCGCCATAAAAGGGACCTTTTCCCTCTACTTAGAAAAATTCGAGAGTTGTACCCTTCATTCTAAGTTGTACCCCTACATAAGAAAGGTAATAAACAGGAATCTTGGGTCAGTTTCCATTTTTCAACATCATAGAAAGGGCTATTCACACCCAAATCTATGGAAAGAACGAGAAAACATTAAAACGGTTCCGTTTCAAATGTGAATGACAATACCCAGTCTAACCTAGCTACAGTATCTGTAGGAGTTGCCCATGGTACAACCTGCTATTGTTTATATTCTATGTGCATGATTTGCAAATGTCCTGTAGTTTGCTTTATAGTTACTTGTATGCTGATGACTCTGTTTTATATTGATATATCCCCTTGAAACATATAATATTTCAAAAACTGAATCTAATGCGATTTGGACCTGGCAAGTTGTGCTAAAATGAAGAATTCGCGGCAGGCAGTAAAGCGAGGCTTAATAGAAATGACTCTACTACTATTTCATTTTTTAAGTATTCGTTCCTTTTTTGAGGGGGCATGGCGTTATGAGACAACTTATTCCTAAGCTACCAGTTCTACACAGTAATGCTGCGCAACCTTCTAAATCATCCCCGCGCTTCTGAAAGTGACGCTTTTTACTGAAGACTCAGCTGGAAGTCTTTACATCGGGCTTAGTTGCTTGCGTCGGTTTATAACCTTTTTTATGCACTCGTGTCACTGTTCGATTAAATATGCGTCAATTCTCATAACTGTACTAGATCCAAGCGTGATATCCGACAATCTTTTGCTTCTAGAAAATGGGAACAGTGGATATAACTTTAAACACTGTAGCAGACTTTTGGGATCCTTTAGAGTTACTTTAAGAGAAACACCCACAATAGCTGTTTTTACGCGACTCTTTTCCAAAACCAAATTCAACATCCCTAGTTTAATTTCAGGAGCAAACTCGAAAAAATATAAAGAAGATACAGTCGAACCCTATTTCTACGGACGTTGAGGGGCGGGGGGGGAGGGTGGTGGGGGACATAGAAAGTGTCCTTATAAATAATTTTTAACGGGCCATGTTATTGAAGTAAACAAGCAAACTACTTTTGGTGAACAACTGAAATACTAAAGAAATATTTAAAAAAAAAAAAACGTTGCTGTAGTATTTCTAACGGGCCACCGAGGCCATATAATCTAGTAAACACGAGTGCCACTTAACTCATCGCCGCTACACTACAAAACACACTGGCTCCGTCAAGTCACATGACTCCAGACTTCCCGCGCTAGGGAGGTTAAGTTCCGGACGTACACTACAATCGCTATTACTAGTTTCAACGCAGGACTACGTCCTTTGGTTTGCACTTATTACTTAATCAGAAACAGTTCTCTGTGTATTAAACTCATTTATTACTTTTAAAAGTCAGCAAATGACGTCTCCACTTCATTTTATCCCATCTACCGTAACACTTAAACATCGAAATGCTGACATCCGAGGATAACTGCAGCAGAGGCAAGGATTAATACAGAACACGATTGATAACAAAGTGTCATATTATCGAGGTTAACTTCCTCCGGTCTGAGAATCTATTGATTGTAGTCAGGAGCCTATGGCTGTTGGAGTAGAAAAAAGTAACTTTTGTCCGCTTTAACAGGTGTCCGTATTATGGGTGTTAAAATGGAACGGTTTTGTCCAGGGACAAACAAAGCTGTCCCGTAAAAAAGAAGCATTCGTATTAAGCGGATCAAATGTCCGCAAAGCGGGGCTCGAATGTTTAGCCACAGGACCCTGAAAAACGTACAGTGTTCACGTAGAGCTTTTATGAGGCCAGTCCGTTGGACGAAACGCGGGCGCATAGAGCTTGGTTGGCCTGTGGCCTTGTAGGGTTTGTCCCAGTCCCTCAGCGGTCAGTAGAGGTGCAACGGGAAAGCGTCCATCGGTTTGACAACTTTTGAAAACTTCTCTCACCTCCAAAATCGTAATGAAGTTGGCATTTCCTCGACTTCATGTGGATGCATCGGCTGTAGCCGGACTTATTGAGTGGTATTGCAATCGACTGGGAATGAGTGTCATCAAAGAAATAAAGACTGAAAAGGAGCTGATACACTGGGTTGGTTATCAGAGCGCGTCGCAATCCGCGGTGGTAGAATTTCGCTCGTCCCTCAAGCAATCTACACCGCCAAAGTACTACAAACCGCAACCATCGTCTGATATTTACTGGAAGATAGGATTATCACTTGCAGATGTAGACACTGCTCGTTCAAAGCTTTTACGTCAGGACGTGGAGGTCACTTCTCCAAGACAGTTCCGGGATATCGGATACATGTGCCACTTAAGCGACCCGTTTGGATTTTCATTAGAGCTGCTGCAACATGATTTCCAGTCTAATTTTAGTTCTGAACGCGTACAAGCTTCTCTTGAACCGAATCTGGCACTTGGGCAGCAAGTGCACATCGGGCAAATCACTCTTCGTGTTTCTGATATCAATCGAAGCCTTCAATTTTACCAGTCTACACTAGGTATGAAGTTACTGTCAATACAGAGCATTCCAAACATGTTCAACCTATACTTCTTAGCCTGTACAGACGAGAAGCCACCTTCAGATGATGTTAACGCAGTGGAAATCAGGGAGTGGCTTTGGAAAAGGCCTTACACCACTTTAGAGTTGCAGCATTATCCCGGTACGGACCGGAAGTACAACACTGCAGACTTGAACTATGAAAGTGGGTTTACTGCGCTCGCGTTTATAGTTTCTGCACAGCGTTTTGAGGAGCTTAAAGTCTCATCTAGTGTGGAGGATGTGGGAAAGAATTATCCTGAATACAATTCCAGTGTTCTAGAATGCAAAGACCCTGACGGTACAAGTGTGTTGTTTATATCAGATTAGTGAAGGTGTCTTATGAGCTACACTACAGCATCATAAGGATACATATACAAGTATGTTGTTCATTTTAGACGAGTGACAGTGTCCAAAGGATGATAAATCCTAAATTAGAGGTCCATTAGTGTGGGCCATGACCCGGCAGGAAAAGCAGATCTTAGTCCCAGAGGGGGTGGGGGTACTCCACAAAGTTTTATACAGGTAGGCTCAGCCCTTTTAACTGCAATCAGGGTTGCCACTATCATGGAAAAGTAAGGGAAAAACGAAATTTTTTCAAGGTCAGGAAAAAGTCAGGGAAAATCTGTTGGAAAGTCAGGGAATTCTGTTTTCCCATTTATAGTTCAAAGTTTTCAAGACTTTGAAATGTATTTTCTTTCGGAAAAGATCAAAAAAGCATGCTGCAAAACACGCAAAGCGATCAATTTGACACTCTACGCCTGACACATGTAGTAGTTGTGGTTAGTGGTTTTTGTTGTGAATGCTTTCTTCCAAATTCCTTCTTCCTCTTTCTGCTTGGCGGAAAGAAGTTGAAAATGAAGCAAAAAATATCCATGGCCTGCAAAAAAATCTAAAGCACATGTAAACATCAATTGTTTCTCATTAATTAAAGGGTAGTGAAAACTGGTTAAAGGTCAGTGAAAAGTCAGGAAAAGTCAAGGAATTTTTAACTTTCTGGCCCCGGTTGTTCAAACATTGGATAGCGCTATCCACCGGATAAAAATCTATTTAGTGGATAATGCAATTGGTTTCCCTAATACTTATCCGCTGGATAGTGATTTATCCACTGGATAGCGCTATCCAACGTTTGAGCAACCGGGGCCTGATGAGTGGCAACCCTGCCTGACTGCTGTAAATGCACTGTCTTTATGATATATGAATAAACCTCAAACCAGAACATTTTCTGAACTTCTTCACAGCCATAAAATCCACTTGTTAGTCCTTTTGTGACTTGTTACAGACCAAAATGACAGAATTCCTTTCATAAACTTCAACCAGTGAAATCCTTACCCTTTCATACAGTCATGTATACCTGAAGCCTGAAAAAGGTGCCCCTTTTGGGTAGAGCCTCCCCTTATAGGTCATTATAGGGAGTCCCCCCCCAGGGGGGATATCAGGGGTGGGTCCAAGAATTGTCTCATAGTGGGGAGTTGGAATAGGAGTATGCTCTGATGGGTGCATTAAGGGAGGAAGTCACGAGACTCATCTTGTGAAATACCATGAGTGAATCGCGTGGGCCTTTTTGTAACCAGACAGTTAATCTGAAGACAAAATCAAGGTCTTTGTTCTGCCTACCCCCAGCCCCAAAAGTGCATTAATGTTTGAATTCCCCTTCAACCTTATTGGCAATTGAGCAATGGAGGGTTAGGGGAGAGAAGGAATTCCACTCCCCTCCCCTCCCTTCCCCCGTCAATCTTCCATTTCTTTTGCTCCCGCTCCAACTTTCGCTAAATAATTCAACTGGAACGACTATGGCTTCTTTAACAAGTCAACTATGGTGCATACTCAGATCTTAGGGACCAAGAACAAGGATTTTGTCACTAGCCTGCATACAGACTTTCATCTGTGGCACAGGCTACAGTTCAACTGTTAAGTCATGTGACCTCAAAAAACCCACTGAAAGCATGTACCAGTAGTTAGAAAAATGCTGTTTATACCCAACAATGACCAGTCATTTTGTTATTAGAAATAATTTAATAGATCACCAACACCACTTGCCTAGGATAATAATTTTATGTTATTATATTAATTTTTTAATGACTATGAATATATCAATCTTATTTGTATAAAGATGAATCAGAATTAATAGCGTTCATTGTTTTACAAATATAACAAATATGTGTATATAATTTACTTCTCATAATATGTATTAGTAAAATCCAACTAGTGGTCTATTATCAATGCCGTGTTCTGATTGGTTGAGCTACTAATAGGCTATATGTTATAGCCCACTAGTAGCGAAAAGCGCGGGCTTTAAAAACCAAAACAATGGTGGCTGAATCACGTTTTGCTAGCTCAAGCTGTTTTGTCTCGATATTTTGTCTTAATAGTTAGTTGGATTTTACTAAAATAATTATTCCTCTCGCCCTCATGGCCTCTGAGTCAACAGCCCATTCTGCCTTTGGCCTCATGGCCTATTGACTCAGAGCCCATTCAGGCTCGAGGAATAATTGTTAATTAATTACCTCAAGATTAACAAATAAACTGTTATGGGTATATCTTCTCATCACTGCTCTGTGTAAGTTTTACTTACAATGTTGTTGTATAAAATGAATAATAATAATAATTATATTGATTCTGACTCTTAATAGTAGTTTGAACACACTTCAATAACCAGCTAATTTTTTAATGCTGAAATGTTGATTTATGCACATGTACTTTGGTTATTAAAATGAAGTCAATAAAGGATAATGCCTATTTTGAAATAATATTTAAGCATCTGGTGGTTGACCAGTGTGGTCCTTTTACAGGATACAAACTTGAGTGACATGAAATTAATTTTCTTTTTTGAAAACAAGGCTAACAAGCCTACAGTATTCAAAGTCCCTTAAGCAAAAACAAAGTTTACTACTTTTAAAAGTGGACACACTTCTCTTCATCCAACCAAAATACAACGTAACTGCAAACTATAAAATCTCAGCAATGGCTTTAAAGGCATGTTGATAAAATCATTGTGTTTTCTACCATGGATTAATGTTATTATAGCCAATCCAAGATGACAGCTAGCCAAGCATACCACAACTTAACCCCATTCCCCACATGGTTCTGCTAATCTCCTGGATGCACATGAGCTCCTCTGTACAATAGTCTGGAATACAGCCCTAAATGTATTTTTCCAAACATTTTAAATTTTGTAGCTCTCATTACGGTTTGTGGCCCCAATTTTTGTGTATTACATCAAGGGCAAAAATAATTTTCGTAACATGATCAGACCAACATTAGAACACAACTTAGGGGTTGGGTTGTAATGGCGGTCTAGTGAATTAATAATACTTGATGGGGCTGGGGACTGGAAAAGAGACCTCCGAATCATTATCTCAAGCTTGCCTTAGTCAAACTCCATACCTTTAACTACGAAAAACTAATGACCTTGAAGCATATTTGTCTGTACTATAACTACTGCTAAAACAAACACTCTGAAGGTTATTATGCCAAATGCTTTTGTAAAGCTGTTGCAATGTATGGAATTGAATAACTGCTTTTTTTGCAATGCATTCTTTTGTATAGAACCTCACGTCACAGAATACAGCAAATATACAGTAATGTCTGCATCCCATACTTCAGTAAAGAATATCCAAATGTATTTTGTTGTGTAAGAGACTAATAATAAAATTGTAAATGCATCTTAAATTTTATTTCAAAACTAATACCTCTTCTGTACCTCAAATCCCCAACAATGCAAATGAGAAATACAATGAATGCTACTGACTGTAAAACTAAGCAACTCACTGTATAACTTCATGTACCAACTCCCATGTGTGAATGTCATGTGGGTGGATCAAAAACTTTGATCTCACACCAACTCTCACCTGTGGACCAATTTCTCATGCCTAGAAATACATTAAGTGAGCGTGTAAATGATTGTAATTTTCAGAAATCTCAGATTATAGTACTCTGTATTCGGGAATAGATGATAATAATAATAATAAACGTTCTTGACTTTTATCTCTTGAGAACTTTGCAACTCTTCATAATGACTTCCTGAAATCTTCAGAATGTCTTTGGAGGTATTCCAAAGTCTTTGATATATATCTGGGTCTTGGCACTCTCAAGACAAAAATATCACACCTACATGTATGATTCCAAAAAGTTGGCCAGGTACAACTTATCAAGGCACAGAACTCCAAAGCCTTGTGCACCAAGTCAAGTTTAAACACTCACAAGTAATATGACACACTTACAAGCAAAAATAATCTAAAAATTTCAAAAAATCACTAAACTCAACAGGTACACATAAGCCGCTAGAAAACACTAAGGCATCACATGTACGATGTACATGTAATACTTGGCTTTACCAGTGCCCTCAAAGCATCAGAAGTCTTCTGGAGACAGGACGTTCACAAGCAGCTGCACTTCCTCTTGTGCCTCACATGTTTGTGTGACTTGCGTAACTTGTCTGCAGCTTTCTCATTATCCAGTTCTTGGACAGCCTTTTGATACCAGTCTGCCTCCAGAATATACCATGGTGGGGGCCAGCGTTTCTTCTCTATGGCCATAAGTGTTGAGCTGTCAAGGTTCTTGAGAGGTTTGGGACACTGGCTGTAGATGGCATTGTAGTGTGTTGCAATGAAGTGTATGCACCATGCTTCTAGCTGAGATGCATTGTGAATCTGAGCTTCAAGAAGATACCCTGAAGACATGACAGTCAAATAAAAGAAATTAAGAAAGGAAATTACTTCTAAAAATGGTAGTCTGCAAGCATTCATAATTTGAGGGTAAGGTAACTTACTTATTTCATGTATTAACTAAAACTCTTACACAATAGCCAGACATGCTGGTTGTGCTATTTGTCAATATTGAACACATGCTGCCCCAATATTGACTACAAGTAAAGGTCTAGTAAAACTCACAATCCCCTTTCCAACCCCCACTTGGTACAGTTTTGTTCCTCAAAATATCTTCAAGTGGTAACTGTTCATCAGTAGGATGTCTAAAATGTGTGCAATTCCACAAATGCACACACGGTCATCCGGGTGAGTATGATCCTGAACAGCAGTGTGTAAAGAAAGTACTGTCCGATAGCCTGGGGCTAGAGGATTTTGTTATCAGGCTAGTGACTCTTGCTCTTACCTTGCCCGATGGGCAAGTGAATCTTTTTGAGAATTCAAATTACAGAGGGACTGTGTATTCAAACCTGCTCATCAAAAAGCTTTTATGGCTAGTTAAAGTGATGTTTGGGCTAGTACAAGCTAACCACAGCTAGCCCGAATGGCAAGCTGTAAAAATGACTTTCTTTGCACCCTGAACAGGACTGTTTTGACAGCGACACATGGTCTGAAATAACTTTTTGATACGGGCAACAGCTAGCGACAAAATAAAATTTTTCAGTTGCCAGGTAGCAAAAAGTGTTTGACAAATATTTTTTCTTGCTCTTTAACAATAACGAATAAAGAAAAACAATGTTTCAGTTATTATTTTATGTTCCAACATCAGTCTGGTATCTTGCTTAATCGTGTTAAGAATTTCTGGTTTAATTTCAAAGAATAAACCATTCAGAGAGAACAACTATTTATTCTCTTTCACCCAATTTACATCTAAACTTTGAATTAAATCTCCAGAGGTATCCACCATAAACAATATGGCAGCCTCAACAGCCCCAATGCAACTGTTCTGGACAGGAGACATAAATAAAATACAGTTGTTAAGGATATCATCTGACATTTCCACAACCTGTGTGGTACTCATCACTTTTTTTACTTCTCATCATCATCAAATCTTTTTTATTCTGATGATGACTAACCCAAAGGTTGTCAAAATACCAGTTACCGTCAACAACAGCGCTATTCATGACTACACACAGCACACAGACAATTATATTCTACCCATTCCGGCCAGTTATTGTCTATATTCACACTGTACTCAGTAACTCATTAATTTCCAACACACAGGCATGCACACAGACTTATCCCTTACCAATAATATCCTCAGCCACAGCCATTTCATCAGTTGCCATAGAAACCTGAAGTTCTTTGACAATGATCTGCTCACAAAGAGCAACAAGCCTGGGCAAACAGAAGAAGTTTGCCAAAGCCATCACAACAATGGTTTCATCCAAGTTTAGGCAAGGGCACTGGCCAGTGTATAAATATTCAAGGACTCTCAGGAAGGCATCATAGTTGGTATCCTTGAATTCCACCTAAAAAAGGCAATTTTAAGTGTAAAAAGCTGCATACTAGAAAAGATATTTGTGAAAACACAAATTCAAACATGACTATATCTACCTCCAATAGTCATGTTTAACAACTAATAAGGTTGAAAATAACTTAAGACATTTTATTGCCCACTGCAGCAACAAACCAACTCCCTCTCTTTCCCATTATCTCACTTATGAGATAATCTACAAAGAAAAATGATAAAACTATGGGAAATTTACTGGAAACATTGATAAGAAAAACAAGCCACGTTCTTGCAGCCCTTCAAAATAAAAAAAAACTATATCTTTATCCAGTTATTCTTTGAAGCCATAAGGTGAAAAATCAGTATTAATACAGCTAATCAAAATCTAGGGTGTCCATTTTACAAGGGTGCACATTACAAACTGGAAAACTTGGCATTAGGATGTAATGTGAAAAACATCGTATAATAGTGATGCTAAGTCTTCCACAAGTAAATTAACATATTATTAGCCCAAAATCTGGGTATGGCTTCAAATAAATCTTTAACAATTAAGGTCAGTGTAAATCGCAGACTGCAGACTATTGTTTTCACCACGCAAATGCGAACGTGACAATAATAGTCCCATTGTTTTCTAGGCATAAAAACAATAGTCTGCAATCAGTCTACAGTTGCATGTCAGTTGCCAAAATTGTGGAACAAGAACAAAATTTACCTTTCCAGTTTTTTTCAACTTTTGATATGGACAAGTTCTGACTACTTTGCTGGGAAGAGCGCCTTTGACCCCTTCCCTGCCAAGGATGTATATATATCCTCCGAGAGGTCACTCAGCAACCGAGGACGCAAAAATACATCCTCATACAAATGAGATCACCAAGAGTCCAGTTGTTTGAGTTGGCTTGAATAAATTAAATCTGGTCGTTGAGAAAGGTCTGGCAGTAATAATTTATAAAAGGCTGCTGACAAGTTATATTCACTTCGCTATTATCGTATTTACCGGTAGCTCAATACTTTTTCTGACATGGTGGCTAAGCCACGGCAACAAAGAATGACTGGAGAAGCACCAGTTGAAATTTGCGCTGATGGGGACTCTGATGTAAGCGATTTTACAGCAAAAGTGATTGGAAAAAGGAAAACTATCTGAGGAGTCTTCGCTGGAGGAAAATGTTGAAGAAGACCAAGGTGAATCTTCGAACAATGGCCACCAGTCGCCAGGTGTATTTTACTCTGGTAAAGAAGGGGTTAAATATGTAAAATTGCCAGGTTTGAAATGATTTGTTAAAAAGTAACAAAGGTATAGCTACTCAAAGTCACAAAATTTCACAGACGTTTCTATTGTTAGGACATGCCTCTCACCACATAAATGTCTGTAAATTTTTGTAACTTTGTGGAGCTATATCTTCACTGATTTAACCCTTTAAGCCCCAGTATCAACAGACAAATTCTTCAAACTGATCTCCATACATTTCCTTAAAGAATGAGTTGAGAGAATTTGATAAAAGATCAAGGCATTTTTACTTGGGTGATCATTTTATTAATTCTCATAACTTATCTGTTGACAATGTATGGATATTGTTAGGAGAAAATTGATCTTGGTCACTATTGGGACTCAAAGGGTTAAGACTTATCAATTACAAACTTGGCAAGTTTACTAATTTTAAGGTGCCTTTTCCAGTGGTGTCAACAGATTTTCCCATCTGGTCCAAATCAAAAGTTGAAAAAACCCTGGAAGGGTCTTTTCAAAGAGTGAATTTGGGAAAGGTTGAAATAATAAAAAAAAGAATTGCACCATTCATTTGAAAAAGATTGCTCACCACTTGAACTCCACTTTCTTTGAAGTGCCCTGTCATGAACATGGCTGCCATCATTTCACACTGTGCCACAAGAAATGCCTTGTGTGCAACAACAACTCTGTCTTCAATTTTGAACACAATGTCTGAGAAGATCTGGGAATTGACAAGTTTCTTTGCAGAAGAAACCATTTCTCGCACCATGTTAGAATAAACTTCAGTATTCATGTACTCCATTCTGTTAATTACATTAGCAACATACTCAGCAAGGTGAACAATTTGAAGATTCCTAGCCGCTTCTTCAAGCTCCTCAGTGCAAACCTCCAGAGGAATGTTGCCACTGTACAGAAATTCAAGAACATGCATGAATGTTCCAAAAGAAAGAAAATTGTCAACTGTGACTAGAACACTGGCACCACGTTCTTCACTGACCCAATTATTTCGGGAACTAATGGCGACAAAACCCCTGGGTAGACTTCCCGGCTTTCCAAACACAAGTGCATCTTGCAACACAAGCTTCTTTGAGGGTGCACCACTATTGGTGACTCTTAGTTCCTTTGCAGAAAATAGTTCTGCAAATGCTGGTGCAGCAGCAGACAGAATTGCCCTGTGTGCCTTGATGGTCTGGCCCTGCACCAGAAACTCCACATCAGCACACGTCCCCAGATCAAGAAGCCTCGCCAAGTTTTCTTTATATAACAAAGGTAAATCGACACTCACAGCTGGGGAATCTGGTTTCTCTGGAAGGTATGGAGGTTGAAGTTGTGGTTTTAAGACCCCCTTCAGGTGAGATGACCAAAACCTGGTATGTCGCCGGGTGTTTAGTGCTGCACGAACTGCATTATCAAAAACATGATTTACACCCCACATGGTTACAACACTGGCTTCATAATAAGTGGCACCAATTTCCTTTGCCACTTGGCGCCCCATGTCAGGTGTCACAAGGGAACATTCTCGCATTCGCTTGGATAAGCTTTTGCTTACAGTTACACTTGTGCTGACTTTGACATGCTGTCGCCAGTCTGACTGAGTTCCCACCAAAACAATGGGAGTTCTTGGACAGTACTTCTTGATTTCACTATACCACACAGCATTAACATTTTTAAAGGTGTTAGGACTGTTGATTGCAAAACAGAGCACCACCACATGTGCATTTTGATATGCAAATTTTCGGTTGAACTCATGATCACCAAATGTGTCCCAGAGCCTTAGTGCTATGTCGACTCCATCAACTCTGAAGTTGGCACGATCTCTTATTTCTGGGGAGACGTGGTATTGGTCAATTGCAAATACTGTTGGAAAGTGAAGGTGTTGCTTTTGGGTGACCTGTGGTGCTGGTGTACCAACTCCAAAAGCCTGTGCACAAATGAGTCTGGTCTTTCCAACACCTGTATCTCCGACAAGCACACATTTAATCAGCTCACGAGGATGCTCTTGATCATATTCAATTTCACTCAACATTTTTTCGAAAATCCCACGCTGGGAGAAGGTACTGTTTTACGTGTTTTAGTGTGTCAAAAGTTCCCGTTCGCCCAGATTAAGAAAATTTTACTCTCTACCTCTGGAATGTAGGTTTGCCAGCTGAAAACAGCGTGACACAGCTGTACAAGGTTGTTTGCTCTAAAATGCCGCCTACGTAAACTGCGGTTCGCTATAATGACCTTCTTTAAGCTTATTAGAAATGGCGGGGAGGACGCACTGGCAAGAAAAGTGACTTTCTCAGCTTTGTGTGAAAACGCCTATTCAGGTCAATCAAGGTTCCTTGAAGCATAAGCATACCTTAAAACAACGTCTTCTGTATAAAAACTGTCTAGTTCAACAAATAGCCACCGGTTAGCATAGCTACGAGATCCTTGATTGCTGCGTTGCTGAATCGCGTGCCGTGATGAAGAAATGGCGATGTGATCATCAAAGCAGTCGTCGAAAATCAATAACGTAGAACATTCCAATGGCAATTATCGAGAAATTGGTGCCGTAGAAAGCAACCATCCACGAAAAAGGCCAAACTTCAGAGATAAGGTATAAGTTCAATCGAACCAAGGTCCTTATAAGTTGAGTCATAAAGGCTGGGCAATTTGACAATCAGCAGGGCTTAAAATATGCACTGTTGCTTAAAAATCCACTGTCGAATGATCCAGTATTTTGATGCGAACACACCTTTCCTTGACAAAAGGCTATTTTCTACGAAAAGGCGTAACCCAAACCTTTCACTTTCATCCTTTTGATTGATACTGTCTAACAAAACTTGAAGGAAATGTTTTTGTTGTGATGTTTGAGCTGATCGACATTCTTCCCAAAAAACCACCAATTGAAATTAAGAAAAATATCACGTGATATATATTAAAGATTTGCATTGCGTTGTATAACCTGAGGCTTACTTAAATTTAAACCTGTGTTTTAAAGTTGTCATTGATCCAAGTATTTTAAATGGTTTTTGTTTACGTCTTTTCATTATACTATGTACAAGAGAACGAAAATATCGGACGATCTTCACGAGACAAAACAAGACATATGTTACAATATATCGGCCCTGGGTCAAGGTTTAGAGTGAAAAACAAAGGAAACGTGCCAGAGAAAACTAATACCATGTAACATGAACAAAAGCCGTGACTAAAAACGGAAGATTAGGAATGAATCTGGACGCCATAGTTATGCTTTGTCTTCCCTTCAGTAAACAGCCCAGGATTTCGATTGAAAAATCATCATTTATTCTGACCGTAACAGCTGTAAAAACAAAATTGAGTAGATAGTCTCACAGTGTCACCAAGCGTATTTGTTCTTAATTACAAAAGGCGTTTTTGAGCGACGTACGTCAAACAGGACTGAGGAGTGAGGCCTTTTCCCGTTTATTGTGCCTTGACGCTAACAAAGTTGTATTGCTATGATATTTTTCTCTTTCAGAGTCGATTTTCCCTAGACTTTGGGCAAAACCACAACCCAAGAATGCAAAAATGTCACTTCCGGTTTACGTGCGTCGCTCAGTGACCGGACGCTCCCTCTTTCGGCACGGATTCTTCTTTTTACTCGGTTCAATACATGTGACCTTATGTCGCGTAATTCGTGAGTGATCTGATAAGGCACGTGCGTCATAAAACGTGCATCATAAATTTCACCACACCTTTTCTAGACCTTGCCACTCTCGTCTCTTAAGGCCATTCTCTTTCCCAGAGCCCTTCGCTTCTTTTGGTCACGTGGTCTCGTCCGTTTCAAATTAAGCCGAGTGGCTCTGGGGACAAAAACAGTCATGCCCAGAAGAGGACGAAGAGCTCTGGGGTCGATAGGAAACACGCACGTGACAAGCTCGACGCAACGCGACAAAGCCGACAGAAGAAAAGAACAGAACGTAGCTTGATATCAGAAGCAGGTGAGGGGGACGCACTACCCTTGTCCAGCGCATCGGGCCGGCCCCCTTGGTGCTGACCAAAAGGTTTGCAGCCGTCTGGAATAGAGATTAGACAATTTTCCATTTCTCACGACAGAATACATGCGTTGGTGTGAACACAACGCGAATTCCATGTTTGTTAACCCTTGCAACCTGATGCTGCCCCCTCAATAACGAAGAGAACAGCAGCAACTTGCAAAAACTGCAAAATTACCGGGTGGCAAAACGTTAATGAGCTCATACATTCTTTGTAAATTTTGGGGTTTTTCAAAAGAATTTCTCCGAAACTATTTTGTATATCGGGCACAAATTTTCAGAGAGAACTGAGATTGTTATTCTCTTTCAATATTCAAGAATTTCATTTAAGAAGCTTCATCAGAAACTAAAAGCCTATGCTAATGGGCAAAAAGTGTGAACAAGGATTCGCCTATAAGAAAGACGTCCTCCTGTAAAAGCAAGCTTTTTTGTAGTTTTAAGTTATTTAAGTCCTGAATGCCCTAAATGCACTGCTTAATTACACCGGTGAAGGTTAAACTTTTCGCAGGTTTAGCTGCCTGGGTATAGAACTCATAAGATTTTTGTTCGGGAATATCCGGTTTCTTTTATTTTTAACATGGGCAGGTGAATTTTTCGGGCAAGTGAGCTAACTATTTTCTTCAGGTAATTAGAATCTTTCCATTAAAACTGGTGAAAATAGATGGAGATAGAGGAAAGAATATACACCTATCCCACCTCTCTCAGTTCCTGTCTCGTGTAACTCTTGAGCGCAACTCCAGGAATTCTTTTAGTGCTTCCCGGAAAACGATTGCACTGAGGGTTGCAATTTGATGTTTTTTCCATTCGATATACCAGATTCATCTGGCACCAGTTACGCAACAATGGTGTACGGCATTTCTTTACCCCTCATTCTGTCATTTTAACTCCTCCCTTGTACTCAGAGACAAAGATGTCGAAATTTCATAGCATTACTTATTTACGACTTGATTTCCTTCTAAAGGAAAATATATATAGTCGAACCCTTTCGCAAGTGACTACCCAAAATTCGAAGAATTAATTAATAGTCGATTACGAGAAGCGCAGCAGACACACGTAGGAAACGATCTACAGATCTCCTTTTTTGGTAAGCCGGTTTTTAGGCTTTTTAAGTTATGTGTAGTTTGATGTTGTCACTAAAAGTTCTTCGACTCGCATACTCCTGATAGCGTAGTACAGACTGCGAACATCCTGGATCAGGCCATGTTAAGTGGTCACCTAAGAGCCGTTTAAAACAACAGAAAATTAAGAAACGGTCACCCTGTAAAGTGATCGAGGTCGCTTACGAGAGGGTCAATCTACAGGACTCTATCTGACTGGTAAAATGTCGTTGTTTTGATAGGCGATCGAACATATCGGAGGTGGTCGCGTATGGTAGATGGTCGATTATGATAGGTTTTGGCATCCAAAGGACACACTGGCAGCACACGTGAGTTTTCGAGGCTAAGCATTTGTGTTAGAATTTTGTTAAATCTTTTCTAGTGTCGTTTCGTTTTCGAAAGAAAATTTTGTAATCTTCGTGACGACTGTTGAGTAAGAATAATGGCGTCAGGACAAAAAATAGCCTGCTTTTTTACTTAACATTTAGTATTCTAGGTTACGACGTTGAGACAATTTCTCTTTCAACAGCGCATGGTACCTGTACCCCAAGAACAGACAAGAAATCGCCCATGTTGATGGAATAGTGACGTTATCTCACTGGCTCCTGTGTGGCTTAACCGTTCATTTCGAAAATGAAATAGGCTTTAAATTGAAAAAACCGATTGATCTCACGCATACTATTTAGGAATTGACTGATCTGGCTAGACACTTTTAATTAGAAGTGAGATTCTCATTACGTCAGGAATGGTATGACCGACCCTTTCTGTCAAATGGAAAACGCCCATTTAAGGTCTATGCCATTGGATAATGAGGTCAGAATTCCATGACTTTGAAGGTAACCAAAGACCATGGCGGAAGAAAAATCTACATTAACTTGACTTAACTTGTCAATGAATTTACTTGAATTGGTGTGTTGAAATTGTCGGGAGAAATCCAGTTTACTTCAAGCAAGAAAAATTATTCAGACAGGACACTCCGTGACATTCGGTTAAGTTGGAAGAGTGACCGCATTCAATTGTCCCATTAAGGGCGGCCCTAGCATGGTACCACCTTCACAATGACCCACGTGGTACCGAGGTAAGAATTTCAAGCGACTCTGTTATCTGGTTCAAAGACAACACCTTTCACAACGAGAAGACCTCCAATAGGATCAAGTAAAACCTTTCAAGAGACTGTTGTCTGGGTTGGTGAGTAGCAGATACTTCCAACAACACCGGTACATTTACTGTTTTCTTCGATGATTTGTGTTAAGTTACTTCCCTGTTCTTAATATTCTTTTTCTCCAAAGAATAGAACGATGCATGCCCGGGGATGCATAAGCAAAGGCTTTCGCAAGTTTGTTTTCGTGTGTCTTAAGCGATACTTTTTTTTGGAAAACATTAATTTCATTGCGAGAGAGGCTTTCAGCGGTGGGGGATGTGTAAAGGTAAAATAACGGTAATGTATGTAAAACAAGAAGAACGATAAGAAAATTTCTACATTTAGGTGGCTCCGTTGTTATCAGGCGCATCGAACTATGAGGAACTTTGGGTCATAACGTTTAAGGTTTTTACCAACAGAATATGTTATAATGTCACAAGATGGCTGCCAAACTTTGCGAAGAACTACAGCTATCATTTGGCAGTAATAAGGAACAATTCGATTTTACTTGTGATCAGCTTTTATTGATAAAACAAGTTTGTTAATGATTTTCAGAGAAATCGTTGGAGCAGACGCCTGTTACTACAAGAGTTTAAAGTTCCACAGAATTCAGCTGTAAAATTGTTTAGGAATTTCACTGAAAACGAATCCTTCTGAGGCAGAACGAGCCACCAAATCTAACATCTCGGACCACCTTTCCAATTCCTGCAAATTCTGATAACCAATCCCGTCATGCTGGTGTCCAAAAACTATAAAACATATTTCTTTCCTTTTTCTTCAACACCCTCAGCAGTATTCATTATGGTAAAGGCTAGGGAGGGGGGACAAAGAAAGTGAATGAAACAAATAATTTAAGCCGAACAAAACAGGTTTAAGAATTTTTAACTAGCCAGAGGTAAAATACTTGGCATATTCATGACAAGAGTGGTCGAGAATTGGTTTTGGGAGATGACCGTGAACAAATCCAGCTAGCAGTTAGGGGGGAAGTTGAATTCGAGGCCGCAGGCCTGATTGCGACTCCAACGCTCTAACCACCGTCGGCCACGCTGCTCTCTAATACGGAGTTTACGCAACGACGGCGACGGTTACGAAAGCGTCTCTTAAAAAGTGAATTTGCGCTGCCTCAACGGCTTACTCGCGCTTGTTCCATCTCGTTTAATTCGTCAAATGTTGGCAAATTTTTTTGGAGCTGAATTTTAAAGGACTGCAACAAAGTTCAGGAAAAGAAAAAGAAAGTTGTTGTCTTTTGTTCCCGTCCTCGACAAAACGTGAAATTAGGCAGTTTCACGTTGTAGTCGTGCAACGACGACAGAGAAATGTACAAAAAAGCGTGATGCAAGTGCAAAGTTGTTGTTTTTCTTGTCTAAACCTGTTGCTTTTTTGCCGTTCTCGTTGCCGTCGTCATCGTCTTTGCGTAAACTCCCTAAATATCTCTACCCGCGGCATTATATCTACGTACCACTTCTTGCGAATTTTTTGTATACAATTACATTTATCACACTGCAATATATTCAAAAAGGGAACCAAAACAAACGAAACTAAAAAAATCTGACTTTTCTTTCGTCAGGTGCCATTTGCCACAATAGAGTAACAGAGATACCCACCGGAAGCCATGACCGTCTGGTTGATACTGTCTATTGGTCTGACAGCCACGTTTATGGGAATCTTGGGAGATAGCGACACGCAAGAGCTTGGAAAAGGAGTTTATCTCAGGAAGATTAACTTACTCGGCAACTTTCAAGAAGAAGAGACCAAGGTCTTTGAGGATATACCTTCGACCTGCTTTATAAAGAAAGATCTGCATAGCACTGGCAGTTTCTTTGACTACTATGCGAGCACAAAGGCTTTCTACTCGAAAATGGCCATCAGAGCGGGCTTGGACGCTTCGTTGCAGTCTGGCTTTACACTGGGTGCTACACTGAACAGTGTTGCGCAAAAGGTACATTCAGAACAGTCCAAAGTAAGTGGAATGTCTTTAAACATCAGGGCGTTGACAAAAAAAATCTTTGTAAAGAAAGACTGTCTAGATGCAAAGGTTAATTTGTCCCATTACTTAATCATGGACCTGGAACAACTGCCAGAAAAAATTGAAAGGCCCTGGCACAAAAACTCCTGGAAATTTTACGATGTGTTCCTGAATAAATACGGTTCCCATGTTGTAACGTCCGTTAATCGAGGAGCGAGCATAAGACAGACGACTTTCGCAGAAAGTTCGAAGTCGTACAGTCAGAGGGATTTCCAGGTGAAAAGCTGTGTGTCATTCGCCGGTCCTACGGTCGCGCCGGTAAAGGTCGGCGTCGAGGCATGTGCAAATGTCAGCAAAGAAGAAATAGCAGCTGCCTCCCATATGAACACTGCAGATAAACTTGTTATTAGAGGAGGAAAAATGGAGACCCGAAGTGCCCTGAGGACAAAGAGAACCGAAGAACTGATAGAGAAATTTTTGAGGGAAGCTAATGAGACGGACGCAGGTGTCGAACACACTTTCAGATCAATATGGAATATTCTGCAAAGCCGCTTTCTTTTTAAACCCGGATCAGAATCAAACTACATCAAAGCTGTAAACCTGCAGTACTACTATCTTGGATTCTTGAATTACGGATGTTCCTTCGTGGAGGAGGGGGGACTTCACATGCAAAAATTTAACTACACCAGAAGCTCCTCCGACAGATCTCCAGAATTTGAATGCACTCTGGCTGCCGAGGGCTGCCATACCGATGACGACTGCCATTACAAGCCAGTATGGTGTTCATGTTATGGGAGATCGTGCGTTCGTTACAAAACGGTGGATCAAGAAACAGGTGTCCCTAAGTTCACTGCACATGCAAACCACGATAAAAACTGGGGATGGCATGGGTGCGACTGGAAAGTCCCTGGATCTTGGTGCAAATGCTACAACGACAGAAGAGGAACTCGGAGAGTGGTTTGGACTATGTTGAACAGAGATGCAGTGCTGAAAAGCAGTGAATATGGCTTTCAAAACAATTCCAGGCTTCAAGATCAAAGAGCGGAAGCTACAGATCATGATGAAGAAATTACCGACGGTTTAATCAAGGGTGCCATAGATCTGAGCCAGGAAGCTGCAGACCTGGTCAAAAACGGTACAGGTCAAATCAGAGCAGGTGAAGATCATCGAGCGGAAGGTGCAGATGAAGGCAGGGAATCTATAATAGTCATATAGGGACGATTTCCTCTTTGTTGTTGCGTTCGCTTTGTGTTCCCTACCCGTCTGTTACTATGTGTGTTCCTGCATACTTAATGAGTGTCTAGGACTTATCTTTTCCTATGTTAACTACCGCCGTAAGTGTCCTAATCTTACAATAGAAACAATAGGGCCATGTATACGAGGAAAAATAAGACGCCTCTTACATAGGACGCGTCTTAAATAAGACGCGAACTTTCCGTATAAACGGCGCATTTCTTCTAAAATAAGACGCGGCTTAGCTAAGACGTCTTAGCTAAGACGAGAAAAACTTCGTATAAATGACCTTCGCGTCTTACATAAGACGCGAACGCATAGTACGCATGCGTTAATTTTTGGCGCGCCAAGTTGGATGCCGTTGCTACGGGCAACATTCACATGAAAACGAGTCAAGAACAGAAATAAGACGCGAACAATTTATACGAGCTGTTCTCGTCTTAGATAAGACATGCTCGTATAAATGATGTAAGATGCGTCTTATTTTTGCTCGTATAAATGGCCCTAATATGCTTGTCTTGGATTGCCCGTGAGTAATTGTTGGTTTTCACATGACGTCACTAAAATTCAAACTACAAAACTATCCATCCTACCGAGATTTTACTTTCACGATGTATTAGAACAGCTGAAAACTAATTTTCATCAAACTTTCGCTTTGTGATAGAGTACACTTGATTTTCTAAGCTTTTGCGCGACGCCGTATTTACATGACGGCCAAGAGAGCTGTCATTGTAAGTTAAAAAAATGACATATTTCAGGGAATTTTGCTATCTAAACAGTTCATGTATTAGAAAAAGTATTACTTTAATGTTTAGGAGTTCCTCGAAGAATTAATTCACGCTTACGAGAAGTGGTCGCCTACGAGAGTCGGACCTAGAATGAGTCCCGGGGGGGACTCCGCAAATGAAAGGGATAAGGATGCTGGTCGGAAATTTTGAATTAAACCCCTAAAGGAGACCGATCTGGGCGTGGCTCAAGCTTTTATTTGAGCGCTAAAAGAGACCATGTTAAAACACAGACAATGTATGTATTTTTATATTTTTTCGCGTGCAACCCTAAACGAGACCCTCACGGCTAAACTGGATGGCGTTTTGCCCAGAACACCCTAAGTGAGACCAAAATCCGAAATTTACACCCCTAAGCGAGAAGACGAGCATCCCCACCCCTTTCACATGCGGATTCCTGCCCCCGGGGCTGTGATATCCTTGCACGAAGGTAGTAATCCAGTGTAATAGTCGACATTCGGAGGTGGTGAATCCTAAGCATTTCGCTGAAGGCTTGTATACAGATAGATCAATGAATTCGTAAGGAACTTTCTTTTGCCATGTATCTATTCAGGTCATCACACGGGTGCGTAAAATACACGCGTGAGGATTTGGAGTCGTTTTTAACATCATCGCATGCATCTTCATCCTCAATTAGGTCATTCTCGAGGTCTTCTTTCATTTCGATTTCTGTCTCTAAGTTATTCACTAGGATAGAGAAGAACTATTAAGCCCAAAAAGAGCTAGTGAATGCCTCTCAAAGAGAGAGACATGTTCACCCTGATACCTGATACCTACCCTACACAGAAGATGAAGGGAAGAGAGAGTATCATCAGGATGATTTGATGTGACCTCAACACGGCTAGATTAAACGAAGAACATTCAATTCTCAAGCCCATACTGTATAATTAAAAGTAAAACAAAAAAAGTAACTAGGGTGTATGGGCAGTTTCTCTGTATGTTAATTCTAGTAGATCTAGTACTAGAAAGGTCCATTCAAACAAGATGCTGGTAGTAAGAGGATCATTTCAAGTGTATTGCATAAAATAAAATACAAATTTAAACTCAATAAACTTTCCTTATTTAACGAACAGTTAGCTAAAAAGTGCTCTTTGATAGCCAAGGCGGCCCCTAACTGCTATGAGAAGCTACAATAGATCGTACGATCGAGCAGCCACAAGAAAAAAAAGAAAAGAAACACTGAGAATTAAACTTTAAGAATTATCTTTCCAGAAAAATGAAAGTGCGCGCTTGATAAAAAATGTTCGTTGATATTGACTCTATTTTATAACTATGCCCCAACTCTGGACCTCACTGCACAATCAAGGAAAGTTTTTGTACATGGGTTTAAGGTTTAACTTCATGGATTAGCAAAATTCAAGGTTTAGCTTTTCAATTGCACAACACATTCAAAATACCAGTAACAAGAGCACATGCGCAGTATTAAGATTGCTAGAGGCACTGATTTGTCCCTGCACACAATCTGACCTCAGGTCATGATTACTGCCGATTTTGAGTCAAACTGAGAAATAATCACAATGCTGCTAGGACAATCTTCAGCAAGATCAATTTGTTGCTCCCTTAGTTTTCTAAACACAAATAAGCAGTTGATTTTCATGCGCTTTTGGGTAATTCGCTCGCTCCACGATCAGTCTTAAAGGGAAATGAGTGACTTCTCCTGGTATATTAATCGGTCTGATCTACTGCCTTTCACCGGCGGTGCTCGTTATCTTTATTTTTGCTGTGATGGTTTTTAGTTCAAACTAAAACGGAGATTGTTTTTGTGCCATGCTATATCTTTTATCCCAGTCCCGGTCTGACTACCTCACCAATTGAACTTTGCCTTGGCCAAATTTGCTTCAGCTAAGACAATGACGAAAAATCATTCTTTCGTAGATTTTCTAAACTGAAACTTGTACTGCTAAGTATATAAGACAACCTACTATTTTTCTCTTTATTTTTTCAGTCGTGGCTCCCCCTCCCTCCCCTCCCGTTATGAAATGGTTTGCCGTGCTGGGTGGGAAGACATCTTTGACCCTTTTACAAACTCCCAGAAGCGATTGGCTTTATCAGTCAGAAGATGCTATATTGATAGGTCTTGATATGACTAGAAATTCCTTATTTACTATTCATTAAAATGTATCCTCAAAGTAACAGACAATTATGAAATTAGCATTGTTTATTTGACTATCGCTTTACAGGTTTCTTTAACAACATACTGCAAACCAGGAACCTTACAGCTGACAGTAAGCCAGTTCTTAACTGGTCATTTGATAGTATTTGAATTTGTTGTCTATTTCATACTAGACTACGACAAATAAATCCAAAACCTGGGTCAAAAACGTCCATAAACTCCTCTGTAATTGATTCAACTTTTGAATCACAAAAAAACAAAAATACAGTGTTAAGTCTATAAATTCCATTAGATGTACCGAATCTGAAACCACATTTTACATGTACGTTATTGAATAATTTTCGTGACAGTGCCTGTTGTGTAAGAATAATGTCACTTGATTATCTGTTATTATGTGGGTTGAGTTTCTTGTTGGTCCTCTCCTTTGCTCCGGGAGATTTTTCTCCGGGTACTCCGGTTTTCCCCTCTCCTCAAAAACCAACATTTCCAAATTCCAATTCGATCAGGAATCAGGTAGACGAAGAACCACTTTGTGGATGTGCTACCTCCAAATTATTATTTATTCATTATTTATTTATTTATTTATTTATATCGTAATTATTATTTCTTTCCCTTTTCGTTTTTATTTCACGTATACCTTTTGCAATACTGTAAGGTTATATAAATTATAGTCATGCAAATAAAGGTTATTGTTGTTGTTGTCGTTGATTATTAATATATGAACGAAATCTTTAAAAATGGACGCTGTTAACTTAATAATGACGAAGAGATGATAAAGTTTATGTACTGAAACTTTAAGTTAAAAAATCAAAATCTATTTTACGTTTTTGCTGAATGACAGAAGAGGCAATTTTAACATTTTAGCGTAGTTCTAAAGTTCATATGGAGCGAAGGTTCCTTGAAACTTAAAAACTCAGGCTTTGAGACTATGGAGGGCTAAATGGTCCATCAATAATATTTGTAAAGATCTTCATGAAAGTAACAAACTTGTAATCGGGACCAGACGGCAGATTGACAGCTTTCCTTGGGTCAGTGATCTTGTTTCCTTTTCCTTCAAGGTCAGTGACAGGCGATATTCCAAGTTTCTGAGACCAGTACCCTGGGGGATTAGTGTCATCCAAGCGATAACAATGGTAATCCACCTCTAAAAATAAAGAAATAAAGTACCAAAAAGATTTGTTTCGACTTTTTTCTTCATAAGTATAGTATAATTTTTCTTATTAATTGCTGTCGGTAATTGCGCAAAATTCAATACTACTCAGGCGCGGATCCACACCGGTTTCCACCGTTTTACGGAAATCGGTCAGATTTTTCTTAAATAGATATATTTTTAATAAATAAAAAACTTTCCAAGTTGCAAGGCTTTATCCAAGGTAAATGGAAATGGCCAATATCCTATCTGAGTGACTCGGAACCCCGAGAAAGGAGACTTTAAGGAGTTAAAATCTAAAACATTTACCGGGGGAGCATGCCCCTGGACCCCCAAGAAGCTTGCGTTTTCGGCGCTCGTTGAGGAAATCGGTCAGCTTTTATCCTAGATCCGCGCCTGCCACTGATTACAAGAGGCCGCACGAGTTAGCTCCTTTCGAAGCAAATTGATGTATTATCGGCGTGGTTACAGCCCATTCAAACCTTCACTGAACTCAAGTCACCCACCATTCGAGATTACGAAACTTCTCGTTAATTAGCTTACAGTCCATGATGGTGTGGGGTTTCCATTCGTTTTTTTGAAGACGAAATTAGTACAAGAAGCTTCGAAACTGAATGATAACGGTACACAGTTGGCCAGTTAGGCCCTCTCTATACAAAAACTTTTTCAGCCTAAAATTTGAAACAGGTTCTTATTTTCTAACCTCTTATCACTTCAACTGCAATGTAAATGCCAATGTTGACAATCATATACAATTTTCATTGATACAATTATACAATTTTCAACACAATCTGAATTCCGCTTATTTCTCAAAGCTAAAATTTGTTTTCCTTTTCTTCAGCAAATAAGGACCTAAATGGTCTAAATTAATGCTCATTACCATCTATGTATTGGGAAAATGCTGGTTCTCACTCACAGGTTTCTACCGTGCCATGGAAGTACGGGGAAAAAGAGGAAATAAAAATGATTGTTTATGGTCACTCTGGAGAATCAAGAAGTGATAATTTTCGGATCATTACACATTTCTGGGAAACAGCCTACCTACCCCTCCCCTCAGCCAACATTTTGCCCTAAGTGAGAAGTAAGTGTTAATGTTGGTTTGGGGGAGGGGTAGGTGGGCACTCTTACTTTCAGCAACAAACAGGACTATTAAGCAGTTTGGTTGTGGTGGTGCTTTGGGGCAAGGAGCACTTGGATCCACATCCATCTTTACTAAGCCGTCACTTTCGCAGGCCTTAATCACGTTTTGTGGAGTCATGGGATATGGGTACGGCTTATAGCCGCTGGCATATCCAGGCTGAGCGAAGCTGTTGGTGATTTTTTGGTTTGCGTAGTTGTAGCAGTTGTTGTTTTGGAGGATCACTTGGGTCTTGTTCCACCTATCTGGGTTATATTTAGGTGCATAGTGTTGTATCACCCCAACACCGCCCTTGTCTTCTTTGCTGGGAACTTGAGAACTGACTGGAGCCAAAGAATCTTGGGTCGCATCAGGCACTCTAGGCGAGACAGTTCCTAAATCGATGGCCTGTAAAATTTTCTGGCGCAAGTTGTCTTTTATCGACTCTTTTGGCATGGTGTCAAGCAGCAGCTTTTGCAGGTCCCCTGTCTCTTTGCCTAAAATCAGTTCTTCTCCATGTGCTCCTGGTTGTTGTACTAAGAAACCTCTGAACCCAAGAAGAGGAGGAATATTTTTGTAACCGAAGATGTTGCCTTTGGCTCTTGCGTTGTCCAGAAGCTCTTTTATTTGCTGAAACTTCTCATTTTGAGAACCAATCGTCCAAACAGGATCAGGAAGACCACTGTATATCAGCAAGGTCACTTTGTATTCTCCTACAGTTTCATAAAAATAACAATAGTTTATTGCTTGGCAGGGTAAAAGGATAGATCATGCACTTACACTAATACAGTCAAGCCTCGTTAATACGGACACTGAGGGGACTACAGAGTTTCCGAATAAACGGGGTGTCCATATTAAGCGCGCGGGTTAAAAGGCGAGAAAATGTAACGGCTTTCTTTGCTCAGGGACAGAACAAACTGTACTTAGTAATGAGGTGTCAGTATTAAGAGGGTGCCCGTAAAACGGGCTTTGACTGTACTCTCCGTTCGGCGAGGTTCTGGACGTTCTGCGATACAGACTGGATGATGAAAGGCCTAGAAAGTTAAGTGTAAATTCTATGATAAATACTGAAAACTTGTCTCTAAGCAGTGTGTTTAACTGGGCATTCCCCTGTGCTACTATTAAGTTTGTTTTCAAAGACATCAACAGCTTAGACGGTGTCAAATTCTCAAGAAAGGCCACAACAATAGGATTTAGAAGTTTTGGATAGAGTTACGAAATACTAATGAGAAGGTGCAATCGACTAGTGTTTATAAACTTCACTGATGCATCAGCAAAATTCAAATCAAAATAGACAGCTTATGGTGGCGTTCGCAAGATATTAAGGTTGGTTTCGGCTACATTGATTGAACGTGTATTCGTCTGAATGCTACTTCGTGGTAACAAGATTACTGATTGGTGGATTAAACTGGAACTGGAACTGATAACATAAAATTAAATTTACCGTCCATGCTTTGACTGATAGTACTGCTGATCAAAAGAGTTAACGGCTTGATTGAGAAGACTATTCTTCGCGAACTGCACTCGGTTTTATCCACCCAGTTTTACCGTATGAACTGATTGGACTGACGATCAAAGTGTCTTTATATATCATCTGCTGAGTCATTTCTCACTTCTTTCAATTTACTTTAATTGGAAGTGACAATCTCACGAGTGACGTGAATTCTCAAGAAAGATGGTCTCTGCCTGTCTGAACACGGTGGTTGAACACAACTCAATTAACCAACTGTTCAGGTGAACAGTGATCAAATTCTGTTGATATTTCACTTTCACTGCAGCATTACTGTTTATCTAATACTGAACCTATTTTATAGTGACAAACGACGGTATTTTCGAAGCAACATATTCAGACGTGACCTCTTGAATCTATGCGTAATCCTAGTTTATTTCTGAAACTGTTGTGCTCGTTCTAGACCCGCTTATGCCTGTTTTGGTTTTGCCAAAATCAACAACGTCCAGCTGAGAGTCTTTTATATGCTATCATAATGTGTCATTCTAAAGAAAAATGGTCAAAATAATCTACACCCTTTTTCAGATCAAAGAAACCAAACCGGGCAACATAATATTCGTATATTAAGGAAATCAATGCCCCTGTCCTCAACTCTCTGTTTATTCTTTTCCTCATTTAACGTTTGCTTGGCTGAACTGATTACTCAGCGCTTTTCATTTGCTTGCAAAGCAGATTCAAAATAACTATGTACATGCGCAGTAATATGATTGCTAATCCTCTTTATGATCATTTTCCTGCTTCCTCAAGTTTCGAAACAAGAATTTGTGCAGTTAGTTTTGCACAATTCAAAACTTGGAGGGAAATTGTCATCATGAATCCTGTTGTTGGCATGTACTTGTAGGGCGGGGGGTTTGCTTTTCGCGTATTATTTTACAAATTCAGGAGCCCATAATCAGCTCCTTGTAAATAAAATTATAACTGAAAATAAAATTGTCCCATCGGATTTTAACAACCTCAAAATAAAGAAAGAGAGAAGGAAGGAAAAAAGCTTTAGAAAAATAGACTGGGTACATGTGAAATTTGCTCTCACATTTTTATTTTCTCTTGAGAATGTAATTGGCAAGTACCCAGCAGTCGTGTTTGCCGTGAGGATTGGTATTTCTTTGCACCGACCTCTTTAATTCATGTTTACTAGAAGGATACGAATGCAAATATGGAGTGCAAACACCAAGATGACCTAGATAGCAGCAAAAAAGGCCATTTCAGAGTTGTCTCAAGCTTCTGTTTTAAAGCTAGGCTAAGTGCAAAGCCATTGATATGAAAATTATTTTTTAGACTCGTGCAAATAAAACTCATTTTCATAAGGAAGTCAAGGAAGGTTTTGCACTTAGCCTCGTTTTGAGAGTGAGGATTTTGGAACTCGGAAATGGTCCATTGGGGTTGAAGAGATGCCTGATACGATCAAACAACATTAACCGTTCCTGAGTTTTTAACCTACATTCTAGCCGCCCACGCAGACGTTCTTTTGGCTCGTCACGCAATCCTGCCCAGGGGCAGGTTGGGCAGGAACACGTAACGCACCCCTATGAACGTCTGTATAGGAGGCTACCTGCCATCAGGCGTTCTTTTTTTTTTGTTCGGCAAAAAGCGACAGGCAAAGGAGGAAAAAAGAAACGCCTGATACGAGTATGATACATTTACTTTTCAAGTTATCTGCCGGCCCTGGGTGCTTAAGATAAACCAGACGTAGTTAATCGATAAAAATCGATATCGGAAATCAATCGATATCATCGATATTAATCGATTTAATCCGCCGATTAATATCGATTGATATCGAAATCGATAGAAATCGAAGTCACAGAAAAAACAATTTATCGATTATTATCGATTAAAAAAATCAAAGCAATCGATAGAAATCGAAAGTAATCGATAACCGATAGCTCTCCCAGTTTACCTTATACCGGTATATATAGAAGTGATTGACGTACCAGCGACTTGATTTCCAAGAAACGCGGTCTCTGCCTGAACACAATTGTTCAACACAACTCAAAGGATGAACTGGTTAGGTGACTAGTGATAAAAGTCTCTTGATGATTTTCTATTTTCGCTGCAGGATTTCTCCTTATTTTCTTAATCCAAAACTTAGGATTATTCAGACGTGACCTCTTCAATCTATGAGTGATCTGTTAAGTACTTGGCTTCTGAAACTGTTATGCTCGTTTTGAAACTACTTATACTTCTTTTGCCAAAATCGGCGAGGCATTTTATGTACAATACTACGGACTTATTGCCAGGGAGTAAAATCAGTAGTAAATTCTATATCAGACCAAGGAAACCAAAACCGGGTGCATATCATATTGTGTAACTACAGTCAGTGCGCTCCTTCTCGACTTTCTGTTTATTTATTTATTTTTTTTTTTACTTCATTTCTTAACAATTTCCCGGAAAAGTGCACTTGGCTGACCTTGTCCAAATTGACTAGAATTGATTACTCAACTCTAAGGTTTAGCTTTTTAATTGCACAACACATTCAAAATAACGAGAGCACATGCGCAGTACTAAGATTGCTAGAGGCATTGTTTTCTCCACACTGTCTAACCTCAGGTCATGATTACCGCCGATTTTGAGCCAAACGTGACTGTGAAATAATCACAATGCTGCTAAGAAAATCTTCAGTATGATCAATTTGTTGCTCCCTTAGTTTTCTAAACACAAATAAGCAGTTGATTTTCATGCGCTTTTGCGTGACGTAATTCGCTTGCTCTACGATCAGTCTTAAGGGGAAATGAGGGACTACTCCTGGTATATTAAACTGTCTTCTTTGCTTCCTTTCACCGGCGGCGCTCTTTATCTTCATTTTTGCTGTGATAGTTAGTTTTCAATCAAAACTAAAACGGAGACAGTTTTGTGCCACGCTATATCTTTTATCCCAGTCCCGGTCTGACTACCTCACCAATAAACTTTGTCTTGGACAAATTTGCTTCAGCTAAGACAATGACGAAAAATCATTCTTTCGTAGATTTTCTAAACTGAAACTTGTACTACTCAGTATATAAGATAACCTACTATTTTTCTCTTTATTTTTTCAGTCGTGGCTCTCCCTTCCTCTCCTCCCTTTATGAAATGGCTTGCCGTGCTGGGTGAGAAGACATCATTGACCCTTTTACATTAACTCCCAGAAGTGATTGGCCCCCGGGGGGGGGGGACGCCCTTATAAAGGCTTAATGGGGACGTGCGGCCAGCCAGGGTATGTTTTTCGGGGATTTTTGTCTTAAACAGGGTATCGAATTTATCATTTTTTGTCTTAATCAGGGTATCGATTTATCAATTTTTGTCTTAAACAGGATAAATGTCTTAAACAGGGTATCAAAAATCGGAATTCTGTCTTAATAAAAAGGAAAATTTCAAAAAAAGGTAAACAAAACTCTGTATTCTTCCTCAAACAGGGGCAGGGCATGGGGCGCCCCCCCCCCCCCCCCCACCGGGGAATTTTCCGGCCCCCCCCCCCCCCCCGGTGATTGGCTTTATGAGCCAGAAGATGCTTACTGATAGGTCTTGATATGACTCGAAATTCTTTTATTTACCATTCACTAAAATGCATCCACAAAGTAACAGACAAATATGATATTAGCATTGTTTATTTGCCCATCGCTATACAGGTTTCTTTAACAACATAATGCAAACCAGGAACCTTACAGCTGACAGTAAGCTTCTTAACTGCTCATTAATGATAGTACGAGAATTTGTTGTCTATTTCATAATAGACTACGACAAATAAATCCAAACACTGGGACAAAAAACGTCCATAAAGTCCTCTACAATTGATTCAAATTATCATTGAATCACAAAAAAAAAAATACAATAAAGACAGTTTCCCTTTTTTTAGCAAATCGCACAAAGAGTGTTAAGTCTATAAATTCCATTTGATGTACCGAATCTGAAACGACATTTGACATGTACGTTATTGAATAATTTTCGTGACAGTGTGTGGTCATGTGAGAATAATGTCACTTGATTATCTGTTATTAATGTCTTAATTATTTTTTCTTTCTCTTTTCGTTCTTATTTCACATATACCTTTTGCAATACTGTAAGTTTGTATAAATTATGGTCATGCAAATAAAGGTTATTGTTTTTGTTGTCGTTGATTATTAATATATGAACGAAATTTTTAAAAATAGATGCTGTTCACTTAATAAATCGCGAAAAGATGATAAAATTCATGTACTGAAACTATAAGTTAAAAAATCAACATCTATTTTACATTTTTACTGAATGATAAAAGAGACAATTTTAAAATTTTAGCGTAGTCCTAAAGTTCATATGCTGCGAAGGTTCCTTGAAACTTTAAAAACTCAGCCTTTTGAGATTATGGGCTAGTCGGTCCATCAATAATATTTGTAAAGATCTTCATGAAAGTAGCAAACGTGTAATCGGGACCATACGGCAGATTGACAGCTTTCCTTGGGTCAGTGATCTTGTTACCGTTTCCGTCAAGGTTAGTGACAGGTGTTCCTCCAAGTTTCTGAGACCATTCCCCTGGGGGATTAGTGTCATCCAAGCGATAACAATGGTAATCCACGTCTAAAAATAAAGAAATAAAGTACCAAAAAGATTTGTTTAGACTTTTTGCTTCATAAGTATAGTATACTTTTCGCTATTAATTGCTGTCGATAATTGCACAAAACTCAATACCACTGATTACAAGAGGCCGCACTAGTTAGCGCCTTTCGAAGCAAATTAATGTATTATCAGCGTGGTTAACACCCACCATTCGAAATTACGAAAGTGCTCGTTAATTAGCTTACAGTCCATGATAGTGTGAGGTTTCCATTCATTTTTTTGAAGACGAAATTAGTACAAGAAGCTTCGAAACTGATAACGGTACACAGTTGGCCAGTTAGGCCCTCTCTATACAAAAACTTCTTCAGCCTAAAATTTGAAACAGGTTCTTATTTTCTAAACTCTTATCACTTCGACTGTAATGTAAATGCCAATTTTGAAAATCAAATAAAATTGTCATTGATACAGTAATACAATTTTCAACACAATCTGAATTCCCCTAATTTCTCTCAGCTAAAATATGTTTTTTTTTTCTTCAGCAAGTAAGAACCCAAATAGCCTAAATTAGTATTATTACCACCTATGTAAGAACTTGGGAAAATGCAAATTGTTCTCACGGGTTTCTACCGTGTCATGGAAGTATAGGGAGTTGAGGAGGAGACAAAAGTGATTCTTTATGGTCAATCTCACTCACTCGCACTCAGCCTCAGCCCCGCCCCAGTGGAGAATCAAAAAGTGATAATTTTCTTACTTTCAGCAACAAAAAGGGCTATTAAGCAGTTTGGTTGTGGTGGTGCTTTGGGGCAAGGAGCACTTGGATCCACATCCATCGTTACTAAGCCGTCACTTTCGCAGGCCTTAATCACGTCTCCTGGAGTCATGGGATAGGGGAACGGCTTATAGCCGCTGGCATATCCAGGCTGAGCGAAGCTGTTGGTGATTTTTTGGTTTGCGTAGTTGTAGCAGTTGTTATTTTGGAGGATCACTTGGATCTTGTTCCACCTATCCGGGTTATATTTAGGTGCATAGTGTTGTATCACCCCAACACCGCCTTTGTCTTCTTTGCTGGGAACTTGGGAACTAACTGGAGCCAAAGAATCTTGGGTCGCATCAGGCTCTTTAGGCGAGACAGCTCCTAAATCAATGGCCTGCAAAATTTTCAGGCGCAAGTTGTCATTTATCGACTCTTCTGGCATTGTATCAAGCAGCAGCTTTTGCAGGTCACCTGTCTCTTTACCTAAAATCAGTTCTTCTCCATGTGCTCCTGATTGTTGTACTAAGAAACCTCTGAACCCAAGAAGAGGAGGAATATTTTTGTAACCGAAGATGTTGCCTTTGGCTCTTGCGTTGTCCAGAAGCTCTTTTATTTGCTGAAACTTCTCATTTTGAGAACCAATCGTCCAAACAGGATCAGGAAGACCACTGTATATCAGCAAGGTCACTTTGTATTCTCCTATAGTTTCAGAAATAAAAGTTGTTTGCTCCTTAGTATGGCTATACTTAAAGGCATGTACACGCAAATAATGTTCAGATATTCCCATTATGTTATAAACATGAATATGAAAGGCCTAGAAATTTGAAGCGCTAATTCTAAGAAACACACTGAAAACTTGATCTAAGCAATCTGGTAAATTGTATTCCCTTGTCTTACAATTCAGCTTGTTTTCAAATACATCAAATACTTGCTTCGACGGTGTTAACTTAAGAGTTATGAAGTACTGATGAGAATTTACAAACGACTTGTGTTTATAAAACTTCATGCATTACCGAAGTTCAGAGCAAAAGAAACAACTAATCATAGAAGTAGAAAATTTAAGGGGCTTACCGTCCATGTTTTGGTTACGGTATTGCTGAACGTATCAAGAGAGTTAAAGACTCGATTGGAAATTGTTCTTTGACGATTGAACGTGCCTTCCTGCACCCAGTTCACCTTATGAACTGATTAGACTGATGATCGAAATGTCTTTATATATCATTTGCTGAGTCATTTCTCAGTTCTTCCAGTTTACCTTATTTGGCAGTGATTAGTTCACGAGTGACTTCAATTTCCAAGAAAGATGGTCTCTAACAGAACGCAGTTGTTCAGGAACACAACTTAACATGAATTGTTAACAAACGATGACAGTGATCCAAATCTCATAACATTTCATTTTCACTGGAGCATTTCTCATTGTTTCTCTAATCCTGAACCGTTTTAATAGTGAAAAGGGGCGAAGTTTTTACAAGCAGTGTTCAGACGTGATTGCTTGAATGTATGCGTAATATGAAACTTATGAAAATATTGTGCTTGTTCTGAACCCCAAAAAAATACAATTTTTGCTTCACCAATTCTAAGAAAAACAGTAAAAACTTGATCTAGGCAATATTTTACATTGTATTCCCTTGTCTTACAAAGAACTCAGCTTGTTTTCAAATACATCAAATACTTGCTTGGACGGTGTTAACGCCTCACGGAAGGAAAGAAAAAAGGAGGAGTTCAAAAAAGTCTCATATATATATACTGTATCATTGGGTCATTTCTCAAAGAATAAAACCGATGGTAAATTTTAAACCCATTTTCAGACCTCTAAGCAAACCAAACCAGGCAGCGTATATTGTGGAACTGTAACCAATGTGCCCCTTCTCCACTTTCGATGTTTACTTTGTTTCTTAACAATTTCCCGGAAATGTGCTCTTGGTTGACCTTATGGAAAAAGAACCGATTACTCAGAATTGATTTTAAGCTGTTCAGTTGCACAACAAGTTTAAAATAACTAACGAACATGTGCAATGAGATTGCTGGAAGTATACTTTCTCCACACAAGCTGCATCATGAATTAAAAGTCATGATTACTGATTTTGAGCTAAAATGTGAAATAAACACCATCCTGCTAAGAGAATTTTCTGTATGATCATTTAGATCGAGCTGCTAATTTTGCAAAATCCAAAACTTTGCGCGATAATTTAGTTGTGAGTCGTGTTGTTAGGCACGTACTTTCAGGAGGCGTTTCCCACGTTTTTTTTAGAAATTCAGGGGCCCGTAATGAGCTCTTGACAAATTAAACTATATCTTAAAATAAACTGATCCTATCTGATTTTAACAACCTGATATATAAATAGATAACTGAAGCTATAGAAATAGTGCATGTGAAATTTGTTTTCAGTTCCAAACTAGGACAGTTTTGTTTTCGGCGTTTTCGTTGGACAGCTTAATTGGCAAGTGACCAGCAGTCGTGTTTTGTGATGGTAACCTTTTGACATGGGATTGGTATTTCGAAGCATAAGCTTCTTTAGTTCATGTTTACTGAAACAAAACCATTGCTAACATGGAATGCAAATACCAACAAGGGCTATTGTATTTGTGTTATTCAAGACAGCAGTAAATTGAAGAGATGCCTATTACGATTAAACAAAATTTACATTCCGTGAAATTCTGTCAGATTTATATGATTATCTCTTTTGTAAAAAATTAAATTCGCAACAAGTTGAGTCACGTTACACGTCGAACAACAAAATGATCATGTTATGATCAGGACGTGATACAAAAACATCTTACCACGTGACCCAAAAGGCGGAAAGAAGAAACAGGCAACCCAGCCGCAACACTTAGCCAAGTTAAAATATCAACTAGTCTCGAATCAAATCAACCCACCAGTTCCCTTTTCTGTTTCAAGAACTGCTTTTCGGTTTCGGTTCAGCAGAGAGGCCTAAAGCGTCCAACGTGGTATTACCGTATGTGCAGTCTTTCTCTGTACGGAGTCGCTGTTGGATTTTTCTACGACACCACCTCCCGAATAACGGTCGTCGTAGAAGCATCTAAACCAAGACACAGCAATGAATCTCAGTGCAATATTCCGGTTTTTGTTGTTGTTGTTATTGTTGTTGTTGTTTTGTTTTCTTCTTGCGTAAGCTAAATCGTTTTACAGTTTCTTTTTTCGGTTTTTTTTTTGGTTTTGTTTTGTTTTGTTATTCAGATTTGAAGCAAACACATATCCCCCCTCGATAAAACTAAATTGACTTTTAAAGGCGATCGTCATCGCTGCCGTACTTCTACAGCTAGACTGTACACTCAATAAAGGAAAATTGCTTCCCTGGAAGACCTTGAATGGCAAAATTTAAGTGGATAAGAGCCGGGGGAGTACAATTCAAGATTTTTTAACCTTTTTCCAGGGAATATTGTAAAAGACAAAACACAAAAGTAATAGATAACTAACCTGTAAAAACTGAATGATACAGTGAAACCTCTATTAAGCGGACACCCTCTATTAGATTCTATTAAGCGGACACTAAGCCGGGTCCTGAAATTAACGTCTTATATTTGGGACATTGTGTTTATTAAGAAAATGAGACATCTAAGATAATTGGTTATTTACTGGTGTCAGAAAGAGCAAAAACAATAGATGAAATTGGAATCAATATCACATGTTAACATGGGATTTATTGAACTGCCTCTTGTGATCACGGCTGACTGCTCTTTTTAATTAACCAATTGTCACCTTGTGCTAATAAACATGAAATAAGAATACAGCAACCTGGGCTAATAAACTCTTTAAAACCAACAACTTTATTCATTTCATTAAAAATATATTTCAATGTCAATTAACGTGAAAGAAACTACATAGTTAGTTAAATCTGCTGTCCTCAACTGAATACTACAGCGCTAGTTCACGGGAACAATTAAAGTTGACGGGTTTGAAATTTCCATCTACGTCTATTCAATTTATGAGGCAACTTTGTGAGTTTGATGAGACATTCTAACTAAATTTGTCTCTAATCAGCTGATCCTGGTATATAGGGTCGCTGCATCAAGCCATTCTAACGTGGAATATGATCATATTTCTGGCATTAACCTTTCTTTTGGGTCACCGATTTCACTGTCACCCAGGTGGTACTAACTTGAAAATTCAAAGCAGATCGATCAAGGATATATATTTGGCTCAAAAAGAACCCCTTCACAACCAAACATTAAACTTAACTCATACAAGCCACACAAAACAGGGGACATATCCTGGTAAGAAGCAAGTATTTTACTTTCTTATTCTAACAAGAGAGCATAGAAAATTCCACTTGCCAGCAAACAATTTATATTTTTTAAAAGCTCTTATTTTACAAAAAAATTCTTCTGTGGTGGCAGAGCTTCCAAAAAACTAACTTTTGTAAAACAAAAAAAGAAATTACAAAGTCCTATAAATAAATTTTTCTATATTAGTTTCAGTCGTAGTATTAATTACACTGGCGTACTCTTTTGTTGTTGATGCGGCGGTTATAAAGGAATTTTATATGCGATACCGCCTAATTTGAGAAACACCAATATCGAACAGCTTGATCCTTAAAAAGAATAAAACATTCCTTTTATGCTTTAATATGATACAGCACTTTTTATTTAAATTCTTCTGTGTTACTTAATCCACATGGGCGGTTTGAGGTATTTTTTTGTGGAAGGGGGAAACGCCTTGTCTGCGTAGCGGGCGGTTTGTTTCGCGAGAGTGGGAAAAGAGCTGCGAAAACGCGCGAAAAAGCCACAAGGCGCATCGCGTTTTCCCAGCTCAGTTTTTTTGCCTCTGGCCAAACAAACCACTCGCTACACAGTAGCGTGAAATTGCACTTGTGCATAAAGGGATATTGCTGACGTGAGTCACGAGCAAAATTGTTGCTAAAGTGAAAACAAAAATGCAACTTGTACTACGAAAATATCACCTTGGAAATGAACAAATTTACAGAAAATGAAGTCTCTCACATTCTGATTTGAAATTTTAACTCTTAGAAGATTTGAGGAAACCACTCACACTCAAAAGTACGAGAAACGCATAGAAGAAAAACAAAATGACAGAGACAGTTTTTCGCGAAAAATTTAACGTGGAATTCACTCGTCAGGCAGCGAATTTTTCTATAGAGTAGAATAGAATACAGATAGAATACAAATCCAAAATCCCTTTGCCTTGGACAGCCTCATGTCCTTTGTTTCTGGGTACGAAGAAAACCACTAACAAAGCAAACAAGTGCAAAACAAGAGTAACGCTAGATAAAGTGAATAATGTGCGTTTTCTCTATCGCTCTTTTTGCCAATACAACTTTATTCGACTCCATCTAGCCCGATTTTATTTATAAAATAACTGAGCTACTACGCGCGCTCTCATTGGTCAATAGCTGTGTTTGTGACGTTTTAGGGCCGATTTATACGGTACGACTTTGTCGCATACGACAAGCTTACGACAGGCCTGCGACATGAATTGTTTCTTGTAAATAAAACCTACAACTCGCTTAAATAGTCCTAAGTCATGTCGTAGGCCTGTCGTAAGCTTGTCGTACGCGACCACGTCGTACCGTGTAAATCGGCCTTAGACTCGCGCGTACTTTTGAGAGTTATTTTATAAAAGCAATAGAACACTTTTTCTATCTTTACATAGCCGCTCACCTAAACTCTCGGGGGCTCGGAGAATCCTCGAAAGTTATGCAAACCCTCGACTACGTCTCGGGTTTGCATAACTGTCTCGAATTCTCCCAACCCTCCTCGTGTTTAGATGAGGCTATGTAAACACGGAAAAGTGCTCTATTGCTTAAATACATTAGGGTTACATTTATTTTTTTCGGGAGTTCAGTATTAAAAAAAATCTATCAAAAGTGCCCCTAGAATCTTGTTAAAACTAGTGATTCGACTTACTTTCTACAATTCAATCCTAAGAGTGAAACGCAAGTAGCGTAATATAACATCACCATTAGTCACCATTAGTTGTGGAGTATAATATTGAAGGTCAGCCTTTGGAAAGTGTTGATGTGTATAAAGATTTAGGATTATTTACTACTAGTAATCTTTCATGGAACCAACACGTAGATAAAATAACTGCTAAGGCTAATAGGGTTTTAGGGTTGGTTAAGAGGACTTGTAGGGACTTAAAGGATATTGATACCATGAACACACTTTATTGTAGTCTTGTGAGGCCTTTATTAGAATATTCATGCGAAACTTGGAACCATCTTACTGAACGTAACATTGATAAACTGGAGGCTGTTCAGCGAAGAGCTACCAGATGGATCACTAGGTCTGATGATGATTATGATACTAGACTATCTAAGCTAAAATTGTTGTCATTATCTAATAGGAGGTTCACTAGAGATGTTACATTTTTTTTAATGTAATTAATGGACATTATGATATTGACATTTCAAATAAGCTCATATTTTGTAAGGACAGAAATACAGGTTATAACTTGAGGAAAAATGACACACAGGACCTTGTTCCAAATTTTAGTAGAACTGATGGTTTTAAATATAGTTTTTTTAACCGTGTTGTAGATGAATGGAATGGTTTACCCAATCATATTAGAGATTCAAACAGTATTGCAACTTTTGAAAGAAATGTGTTAAGCTTTGTTAAGGATAACTAGAACATTTATATTTCTATTTGTATATATTTTTCTTGTATGTTAATTAGTGGGGGTATCCCTAGTATGGCGCATTGGTGCTTTTGGTTGTCTCCTTCTCCACAACTTTTTTTTTTTTTCTTTTTTTGTTTGTTTGTTAAACTAGTGTTAGCTTATTTCATTTCATAATTTGCTTGTTATGCAGTGGAGTGAATCTGTAATAAAATAAAATAAAACATAAAAAAATAAATATCCATGCATGATATGCTCTCGTGCTCCCAGTAAAATGTAAAGTAGATATAATACAAGCGTTACCTCTTCTGGTAGAATTACGAATACTATTCGATTTGGCGTAATCTTACCCATGTTTATATCTATATTATTCATTGATATATTGATCATATCAGACAAATAGTCTTTGTGATTTATTCATTTACGTGCTTGCTTTTTCGCAGAAAAATGCCCATAGAAGGTAGTTTTTAATCGCCTCGTTGTGATCTCTAGGATTTCACCCTTCCCTCCCCCTAAAAAAGGACAGAAAAAACAAACAAGCAAACAAAACAAACAACGATCCAACCCTTTATTTTAGCCTCAAAGCTTACAGTCATCATTTGTCAGTAACATATCTACTATACTTGATTTCTTTATAGAGAGGTTTTCAATTAAGCGTTGTGAACCAAACCAATAGAGCACAGACGACAAAATCAACCAAATCTTAACTATGAATAAATAAATAAATAAATAAAGCTAAGCGCGGGAAAACTTGTTCCAAGGAGTCAGTTTTGGTTTTACTTCCGATTGGATGAAAAAGTGACGCGATTTTCTAATCGTGTAGCGTACTTATCTTGCAAACCTCTTTTAAACTCAAACTAAAAGCGTTCTATATGTAAACCTAATCTTAATCTAATCCTTTTTAATTCTGTTTCTGTTAAATATTGTGGAAAGTAAAATCACAGCTAAAGCAACAAACACTCCTATTAGGATACCAAGGACCATCGTGATATCATCTGGAAAGGAAAAAAAATAAACATCGATCATTTTCAAATTTTACTTTCCAGACATTTCAAGAACTTTCTTTGGTCAGTGCTTGGCGAGTCTTATTCATTTTAGACTCTATGGACTGTATCTAATTTATAGTTACTTGTGAAGTAGAATTAGGAAGAAAAAAAAACATGAAATCAAATGAGATACATGCAGTGTATTTTGTATACTTAGATTCGATTGTTATACCTTTCTTGTCGTCCGCTTTCCCAGTTGTTGTCAGTACATCGCTCCTTGTGGTTGGTTTTACTGTTTCTCCAAGACTTGGTAGAAACACATTCCATAAAGCCATCTTATTTGGACGCATCTTGTACCTTACTGTCATATTTGAACTAAGTCCCATGTATTCTCCTCGCTCAGCGGTGTACTGGGGCCAATTTGTTCTTAAAGGCGTTGGTCTATTGGGATTTCTGAAATCACATACAGAGAAGTGAGGATTGTACGGTGCCATGATGGAAATGCATCTGTGACATTAGATCTGAGCTCTGAACTGAATGGCAATGGTTAGAGATAATCAGATAGCTAGCGTTTTGATCGTTTTGACACATACTTACTTAGCTTCCAATAAAATCACTCATCTTTATCGAACGTGGCAAAAATCATTTCTAGAAAATAGCGGAGCCCTATAACCGAGGTTTCGTTTAGCAGATCGAATTGCTGATTCCATCAAAGGCTAAAGTCTGATAGCCGAAAGTGCATTTTAAATAAACCTTAAACCAGAGAACTATTTTAGTTCTTTTCATGGCCATGTTCAACCCTAGTCAGGCATCCCTTTTTTTTTTACTAAAGTTACTTTCATTTGGCACATGTGCTCACGACTGCTGGCGGCTTCTTTTTTCTTCTTTTACTGAGATTTGTAATATGATAAACTAATATCTTTGTTATACTTGCCAACTCAAATACGTTTTCCGATTGGAGGAAAACGAGTCACGTGTCGTGGGTCAAAACTCACTAACTCCCTAGGGCGAACAAGCCTCACTACCTCCCTGAGAATACAACAACATGAACTTTTGACTCGCACGTGATCAGGTTGTGCTCGTTGAAACCGCGGCAAATAGGCCACGTATTCTAACATGGCTCCGAGGCTTTCGGGCCAAAATTGCACATTTCAAAGGTTCTTTTGTTCCTCAGTTGCCAAAAGACACTTGGATACAAAGAAAACAACGCCAAAAATATAGGCCTTTGTCCCGAAAGCCACGGATCCCTGTGTTTTACGTAGTCATACACTGCGTATTCCAACGACCACCACATATCGTATAATCAATCGTTTGATGTTCATTGAATCTAACATCTGTAGCATAAGCAACTGAAGCAATTATATTATTCGATCTGAAACAGAGCAATACAATTCGTCGTTAAGCAACTCGCTCATAATCTCTAGAAAAATGATTTCACTGAAAAATACCTCAATTAGAAAGTCTAATTTCACAATCATGCTTTACTCACTTCTGTGGCGGGTCGTAGCTTAAAACGGGTTAGCCTTAAACTTGTTCGCTTGAATCTCTGGTACTCGTGAGCAATACCGGTTAGCAAAATACTTCTGTTTGAAACCCGACAATGAGTAAAAACAGCATAAAATCTAGTAATCTCAAAATGTTAATCAATGTCCTTAATCTTTAACTAAATCAATGTTTGTAATCACGAGTTTATTTCCGGTTCTGTTAACGAAACACCCTGTTAGAATATTAATTTGTGAGCCAGAGCCTATACAGTACCCTAACATACCAATGAAAGCTAACCGCAAGCAAAATAGGTTCTCACGTAATGGTCCGGGTAGTTACCAAATATGGTAAGTAGTGCCTACATCAAGTAGTGAGTTTTGTTCCCCTCGACCTCAAGGGTCTCACTGTTTCCCTTGGAGCCAATCTTTAAGTGCTAAATAATGCCAAAACGTGTAGTATTTTACTAGAGTAGGTTGTCTCTCATTCTTAATTCTGCGGAGGCCTCGAAGATTCGATCTAAAAAAAAGTTTCATGCAAGCAACGTAGTTCTATTGGAATAGGTGTAGTTTTTCTGACCGCTGTTTCCTCAGATGCAGTTAAATTTTCTCGCATAGGATCAAATTTGCGAAACTTTGTAGAGACATCTGTAGAGTCAAGTAACCAGTAACGATATATTTCGGAACAAATCTAGCAGGTGAGGAGTGTTTTCACCAGCCTAACCACTAGAAAACGAGAAATTACGATTGAGAGTAATTCATAGCTTCTCTTGTTAAATATATACTGACCCTGTTTTGGCAAAGTTAGCCCATATCGTCATCATTTCCTTGCTGAAGCTTATTTCTGCCGTAGTTGTAAAGTTCTTGGGCATTAACAGAGGAAAACCAAACGTGTAAGCAATGTCAGCTCCATGAAATATCCCCCACCAGGAGGGTATTGGCAGTAGACTACGTGAAAATCTTTTAGGTGCTATTTCAAGTTGATACAAGTATGTTGAAGATTCTTTCTTTACAAATTCATTGGCCGACTGGATAGCGGGTGCTTTGAAGTTTGCGTCTGTGTTCATGTCAATAAACTGCTGGCGTAGGAGATAAGGATCGGTGGCATTTGACCAATCTGTGTATTCATAAATCAGCAAGTCGAGGATTTGAGAGTTTTGATTTCGCGTCCACATTCGATTTTTGATCACGTCTACGAACAAATTCCTTGACATTCCTTTAGATAGGTCAAGAGCTGGCATGACACCTGAAGACAAATAGGATAGTAGAAATTAGTGCATGAATCAGCATTCTCGAATAATAGTAGCTAATAGCGACTCATTCACTCGCGCACTATTAGTCGATCGGAAGGTCGATCGGCCGCTCAGTCAGTCAGTTAGTCAGTCAGTCAGTTAGTCAGTCACTCAGTCAGTCAGTCAATCAGTCAGTCAGTCAGTCAGTCGGTCGGTCAGGCAGCCAATCAGTCAGTCAGTCATTTATTTAGTTCGTCCGTCCGTTCTTCAGTCAGTCAGTCATCTATTCAGTCCGTTCGTTCTTCAGTCAGTCATTCAGGCAGCCACTTAGTCAGGCAGCCAATCAGTCAGTCAATCATTTATTTAGTCCGTCCGTCCGTCCTTCAGTAAGCTAGTCAGTCATTTATTCAGTCCGTTCGTCCTTCAGTCAGTCAGTCAGTCAGTAAGTCAGTCAGCCACCCAGTCAGTCAATGAGACAGACCGTCAGAACTGTTACTACTACCGTTAGGGTTAGTGTTACATTACTGCTATGTTTTATTGTAACGGTTATCATTACTAGATCTATTACTACCACCGTCACAAGATATATAATGAGGCAAGGGCGGAGAATGAAAACGATACATCTATCATTTTGATTTAACATTCAGTGATCTCGCATTTCAACAGTGCTGATTATTAGATTTAAAGTTAATTTGGGTGCCTATCACTATAGCAGAATCATAGTTAATAGAGGGGAATGGCTATGACGCCCGAAAAACATTAAAGGAGCAAACAAAGATGCCAAGATTTATGTTGGAAGGTCCACACCGTGCACAATCTTTTGTTTTGCCTTCATACACTATGCATGAGTTACGTAACCAAAACGTTTCTATTGGTTAGTTCCTCGGTCAGTGGAAGGCAACTATTGTGTTTTGTGCAGGGTCAAGGCCAAAAATGAGAGCAAAAACATACAACAAAGAACTTTGTCGAGTTTCATAACGATTCCCTTCTATCAACTATGGCAAAATGAACCTTATTAGCAACTCAATCTGCCCATCGCCGGTTGTTTAAATCAAATCAATTCAGTCAGTTCAACCTGGAAAACCATTGGCAAAGACTGTTCCATCATCTCTTGTGAATCCAATCATGACATTGCTCTTGTTGAACTTGCCGGCCTTAAGGAGTTTGATGGGGGAGTCTGGAACAATCAGGTAATAGTAAGATGCACAGAGTGATAAGATCATATTCGTATATTTTAACACATGCACTGACATAAACTTAAGTTGTTTTTTTTCCCGTTAGTTTTTCCGTGGTCTTGAATGTCCACTCTAAAGCCAATGCATAGAGAGCGAAACAGTTTGTACACTGAGTGAATAAAGAACCCAACTCAATTACTGATGGCTTGGTGCAATGATTTTCTTCAAAAAGAATATCGTCCATTTTACACAAAATAAAATAAAAGTAACTATAGTAGAAAGTGTTAGTATACCGTTAAAAGAAACGCCATTTTATTGCGGGAAATCAAGTTATAGAACTACCGCGTAGGGTGCATTCGTTCGAGACCATCTTGATCACAATCAATGATCCAAAATCACTTCGATCATTGTACTTAAAGGAAGCGGCGAATCCTTGCTCAGGGTGGATTCTTCGCTTCCTTTGATGCACCAAAATCCGACTGATCTTGGATCAGTCTTGCTGATAAAAATCCCGAGGATGGTCTTGATTAGGAAAATGGGGAAAAATAAAAGCAATCCTTAAATCTAAAATGAATGCGCAGTCCGGTAAGTGTATTAGGGGTTCATGTTTCGTATAATGACAGGACAAAAAATTAATTAAGCTTTCATTTTAAATAAATACGCAAGTTGCAAACAAATTTAGATATATGGAGAGCAAGAAATCACACATTGTTTGAAAGAGTTGTGATAATTTACTTATTTATTTATTGGTTTGTTTCGTTCTTTATTTTGAGGGACACAGTCAGCTTTGGAACTGCGCTAACCTTCTCACTTTCAAAAAAAGTTCACCGATTTGCGCTTGTGCAGTAAAACTTCCAATTTATGCTTCAAGTAAATAACTTTTTGTGTAGCTGTTCCGTTTTGGCGCCAAAATGTAGTCGCAAAGGATCTGGCGACGAATTAGCCTTTTTATATTTTATAGGCGTAACGTACCTAAATACTTGCCTTGCAATCAACCCGAACACATCCGCTAAAGATCATGTAAAGAGCCGTGTAAAGATGTATGGATTACCCAACAGAATTGTAAGTAGCATTTCGCTGCGAATATTTCAGCCTTACAAGTGTAATTTCATATTAGAAACGCAAATCTCTCATTTGCTTTGCAGTTTGATTGTTGCCGATGATGTTACCCGTTGGCAACCAGTGCACAAATAAAGCGGCTATCTGTGCATCGATTGTAGCTTTCAAATTTAAGTAACGCTTCGCTACGTTAGCGCGAATCATTCACTCCAACCTGGAATCAAAGTTCATGTATAGAAATCCGCTCCAATTTTGCAGTATTTTGCTTGATTTTCAATCGTTTACTGATATTATGATATTATCATACTATGATATTATTTTTATCATACCTGGTTAAAAACAATATTTATCGCGTCTCCGTTTAATATATGCAAATTAGCTATAAAATGATATCTAATGCGCATGTGCGCCAGCTGACGGTGTCCCTTTAATAATTTGCCACACAACAAAATTCAAAATGATTACAAAAGGAGGGCAATAAGTTAATAAAAGTTAAGTAACAAGCAAGTTTCTAGCACTGCCACAACTAGGTTATTCAGCCTCGACGTCAAGACCAAGGAAGTCAAAGCTAGTAATTATTTATTATTGTTGTAAGTACTAGATGAATGTTAAGTAAATAATTACTAGATTGTAAAAAAAAAATGGAGCTAAAAGAAATAATAAATAAACTAAAAAAGATCATCCTGAGGAGCCCACCATTCGTTGTAAACCAAAACCAAAAATAGAGACCCAGAGATGAAATAGTATACAATTCCCATACTGGTTGTCCCTGCGAGAGACATTGTTTGATTATAGCATAACACATACCTGGCATAAAATAACCATCCACAACCGGTGCAAAGCGGAAAAAGTTGAGATAATCAAACACTTTTAATTGAGCGGATGAAAGGTCTTGGAATGATTTCTTTTTCGCACAGGCTTTCAGTGAAGCCATTTCGCATCCCACATTTTCAGCGAAGCTCCTAGGAAAACGATCAACAAAAAAATAAATAAAGCAAAAAAGAAAAAGAAAAACTGCCACACGTAACAGAAATGCAACAACAGAGAAAAAGAGAACATTAAATGTTACCTGAAGAGAGGACAGCCAAAATGCTGAATTCTGATAAATGCTTTACCTTGCTCGCAATTCAGCTTCATCTTTTTCAAACAGTGCTGACAAAGTAACTGCCGTTCCACTCTGTATGATAACGTTCTGGTACAAACCGCTGGCCAACGGGGACAGAAGCAACAGCGCAACATTCATTCCGCCAACCGACTCACCAAATATAGTGACTTTCCTAGAATCTCCGCCAAATCTTGAGCCAAAATAAATACCGAAATAAATACAGTGATGACAGCGAAGAATAATCCCGTTCCCAGATCTCTTGAGGGCGAAGCCTTCGGCTTCTTTCACAGGCGATCTGGGAAGGGTGTTAACCCTTTAAGTCCCAATAGTGCTCAAAATCAATTTTCTCCTAACGATATCCAAAGACTATCATGAGCAAAGTCTATGAGAATTAACAAAATGATCACAAAGAGAAAAATATTTGATCTTTTACCGAATTCTCTCAACTAATTCTTCAAGGAAAAGTATGGAGATCAGTTTGGAGAATTTGTATGTGGATATTGGGACTTAAAGGGTTAATGTGTTCTGCAGTTTGTTACCCAGTACAAACAAAGGTAAATACTCTTTTCTCTGGCCTTGGTATTAGACTTAACAAAGGATTTAACACGCAAACTGCGGTGATAAACATTGCGATGAGACGCGTTGTTGTAAAACAAACAAACTAACGTTTCTTTAGTGTGAACATACATTTTAAGAAGTGACCGATGAGGATAAAAGAGCGACTAAATTTAAATTTAAGATAAGTAACTAATCAAAATTTGAGGAACAACAACAATGACAGAAGTGAGAAATTTGCATATATTAAAATTTAACGCTTTTCGCTGCTATTATTGTTATTATTATTATTATTATTATTATTATTATTATTATTATTATTATTATTATATTATTATTATTATTATTATTATTATTATTATTATTTCGCTGCTAACATTACTGGTATATGACCAGTTGACTCAGCTACTCGTGATTGCTATAAAAATATTCAGTTCTTCTGTCATGCAATCTACGTTTTGTTTCTTCAATCATTCTTACGCTCACTTTGTTGTTCGTTACTTTCTCTGTTGCGCTCATCTTTGAACTTTGAAAGTTGTCAGAGTCGTAACGCGTCACGCTTCCATGAGTAAGATAATCGAGGAGGAGTGAGGTAAAAGGTGATTAATGAGTTGATCTTACCTCAAGGTTGGTCAGTCCTTCTTTTAAAGAACATTCATAGCAGGCGACAATAAAAGCAGTCGACTGAACCTACCTTTCAATGTTTTTGTTCACCCATTTCAAGGCCGCTATCTGATCCAGCATGCCGTAGTTCCCTTTCAAATTATCGCTATAGGAGCTCAAGAACCCAAAGACGCCCAAACGATAAGCAGCCGTGACAACAATCACGTTACCCTCGGTTGCCAGGAGGCTACCATCGTAAAACAGAGTATCCCCTATGATATACGCACCGCCATGAATCCACAACATAACTGCAAGCTGAGAGTTGTTTGTGGCATTGCCTGGGACATACACATTTAGCAGAAGACAATCCTCGCTCATAAGTGAGAGTCTACTCGGCTGACCGGGCAGATCAGGTTGTGGGCAAATCTTATCAGTCTTGTTTGCTTGCAGTGTTGAAGTCCACTTGTCCGGAGGAACCGGATATTCAAAACGTTCCGCTTTGGCAAACGGTATGCCGAGATAGGTTATAACTGTCTTGTTCGTCGATAGTGATATCACTGACCCGTTGACGGGTCCATAAGTCGTATTGACGATCGCAGAGGCTACTGAACATCTGCAGCAAAGGTAGAGTAATAGCACGTGAAGTGACCACGGGGAGAGTGTAGATGCGGTCATCGCAACAGACAGGTGAACTTTACCGTGTTCAAAACATAGCTATAAATTAATCTAATTAATTCACTGACTGATTTATTCAAATACTAAAGTGACGGTCGTCGCACTGGTGACCCATGACGTAGTGACATAATCTGTAATGCAACTGCATTAGGGGTGAATTTGTTGTTTGCTGTCAAAATTACAGAGAGAATAACCTTTCAGATTCGGCAATTTTATTTTCTTAGTTTTATGTAAAAGTGAAATCTTTTTGAATGATCATTGGCGAGAAGGCAGTATGGGTAATGATCACAAATATGAAGACTTGAAGCGTTTTTGTTTGCCTTTTGCATATTGAAACAAATGCTGGTTAATATCCATGCTTCCTTCTTAAAATAAACTATGTAAAACAATGTACACTTAAAACAATTAGTTTTCACACTGGAAACTTACCAGCAGTTGTGAAAACATTTAGCAAGAAATTTGAAGGCAAATGTAAAAATTGTGAGGCTACTGAAACTGGCACCGTCACGCAACGTTCCAGCAAATGTTAGTTTATAGAGGCGACCACAGACCAGAAAACGGCAAGAAAATACTGGCATGGACCTTGTCATTATGTTTTATGATTGCATCTGACTTTAAAAAAGGATTTTAGCAACAGACTGGGATTGACAGTGACCTAATGATGTCATTGAAAGTAGTACAGTGAAGGCGTCCATAGCACTTATAATGTTTGATTACTACTTATATCTGTGTTCATTGCTGGGGGATATCATGGAATTTTAGATTCGTGAGCTTTTAAACTTTATCAACCACATAGTTCAAATAGTCAAACACTGACGTACGTTGAAGAAAACGGTGTGTAATGAATACGACCTCTTCTAATTTAGTGTAGTTTCAAGATCTGCTTTATATTGTATTGTTTTCCCGTCATCCAAGTTATATTCAACAACTAGTTTACTTAAATGAAAGAGTGTCAATTCAGGACAGGGTTGTTCCAATACAGAACTTAGCATTGTCGGTAACAGCAACAAACTGGTTTATTTAACGTTTCGGATTGCAAAACTCGGCTGAGTACAGCACCAAGCCTCACCACATTAAGATTTTCGTTGTTCCCTTACCGACGCAACTTGCGCTCTCATTCAAGTACACCAGGAGTTTCCAGAAACTTTTCCAGGAATTAAATAGAATTGCTACAAGGTTTCTAAATTCGAATATTACATGAGAAATACAACATTCCAGAAGGCTTAGGTCCCGGCTGAATGACTTCTGGTTCGAGACCAAAACGAATTACTAGATAGAATTGCATACTAGTATCTAAAGCTGGCAAACTCGCGGTCTGATTGGCTATCGATGAAACGCCTTGAGACGAACCGCTCTTGATTGTGGTAGGCTTTAAAGTCGTTTCTTAAATTATGTTTTCTTGTTGGAGGAATGTAACGAAGTTTTTAAAACTAACATATTTATGTGCTTAGTCGTAAAGAAAAAAAGGCTGGACTTGAAGGGAGAGGGACACTTATTTCAAAATTAGCGTCTTTAAGGGTAGGGTACGGTACGGTACGGCGGTCGTGGATGCGGTGTCCTGTGGAGAGCACGTCTCGTAGCTCGCCAAATTTCAAGCTCGGTTCTTGCTCACTTGCTTTCGCTATAATTTATCAACAACAGAATTCAATGGTAGTCAAGTAAGAAATCGGCCAATTTAAACATTTCGTTTACCAAGAAGAATATTGATAGTAAACATCATCAGAGGGCGATTCGTACACAAAACAGAAAACTACAGATGAAGATCGGAGTAAGCTCCTAATGATGTTTCTTCTTGTGTACCGCATTTAACAACAAATCAACAAATTCAGCGTTTTAGATATTCTATTCTATTCTTGTTTAAACAACCTTCAGTGACATTTAGCTCTATTGCTAACAGTCGTGCTTATGGTTTTCGTCTAGCCTTTGTTTGTACTGGCGGATTTTCTGCGGCCATGGCGCGGCATAGAACTCCTGGCACACTCGTTTGAGGATCGAAATCTCAAACTGAGAAAACGCAAGGAAAACGTATTCACTGGAAAACCAGAAGCCTCGAATGCTTTCTCGGTAAAGTGAAAAACAATCTATGATAGCTTTTAAAACCAGTGATCGTAAAAAATAGGAGAAGAGTCGACTTTTATACTCACGTAGTAGCGACTACGCCAGGAGACAGCTCTTCACGTCGTAGGATTTGGCGCTACGGCGAAAGGTCATTTCCAAGCATGCGCACTGCGTCATTTCGGGGCTTTTTTACTTCCGGCCGCCGTAGTAGAGGTCGCCGTAGCGATTTGCTTAAACTCCCTATTCTTGGATAAATACGGCTCCCATGTCATAACGTCTGTCAACCGCCGAGCAAGTATAAAACAGACAACCTTCGCGAAGAGTTCTAATTCCTACAGTGAGAGAGATTTTCAAGTGAAAAGTTGTGTTTCATTCGCAGGTCCCACGACTGTTGGGAAGGTTGGCGTCAAAGCCTGCGCAAATGTCAGCAAAACTGAAATATCCAAGGCAACCCATATGAACACAGAAGATAAGCTTATCATCAGAGGAGGAACAGTAAATACCCGCAGTGCCCTCAGGACAAGTAGGACGAAAGAACTGATAGAACAATTTTTAAACGAAGCTAAAGACTCGAACGAAGGCGTCCAGCACACCTTCAAATCAATATGGAACCT